ACAAGAAAACTTGAACATTGTACGCTTAGGTTCCTTACAAGTACAGGAAAAGAAAATAATAAAGGTGACATGACCACCTATTTCCCCCATTTTGAAAATAAACATGCCTCTTCCTTTTTATTCCTATAGAATGAGAATCTCCTTGTATTCTGGCTACATTGGCATGTTCATATCTCATTGTAATCAGGCAAGTTAGGAATGAGTCCAAACCTGTGTAGGGAGGAACACTCCTGCAAACAATCATACTGCATCTTTTAATTTTATCTATATACCTTCTGCCTTGGCAAATCTGCTTTCTGGTTCCTATAAAACAGAGGTTTCAAACTCAATTTCATTGAGGGCTGCATCAGGGTTGTGTTTGACCTTGGGGGCCAGGTAGGTGTGGCCAACTTGACGTCACTGGTGTCAGTGGTGCCTGTGGTGGCCCAAGCACTCTGCCAGTGAAAATGGAGCTCAAGAGGCTGCAGTGGCCTTCTGCAACCCTCTGCCAGTGAAAATGGATCTCAGGAGGGTCATGCACGGCCCTCCCAATCTCCATTTTTGCTGGCAGAGGGTTGCAGGAGGCCATTGAAGCCCTGAGCTCCATTTTTGCTGGCAGAGGCATCACGGGCTGGTCCTTGGCTGTTTCCAAGACAGCTCTGTGGGCCAGATCTAACCCCTCCAGGCCAGATGTGGCCCGTGGGCCTTGAGTTTGACACCCCTGCTATAAAATAAGGAATGAATAATTGGAGTTCCTCCTGACTCCCTCTAGATTATGGCTGTCAAACTCCCGGTCCACGGGCGGTGTCCCGATACATCATGTGACGCCGCTGTGACAACCATGAGTTTGGTATCCTGCTCTAGGTGAACAGGTGGAAGCCATTGCCAAAGGGGCTTGTGCCCAACATCAGCTGATGTTTCTGTTGCTGGCAAGTTACTTATGCCCTTAGCATCACCCATCTAGGCTACTGTAATGAAATCTATTTGGGTTTGACCTTAAAGAATATTTGGAAACTTCGGTTGATTCAAAATGCAGCTGCCCCTGCATTGCATTGATTGCCAGTTGGTTTTTGGATTTAATCTGGTTCTGGTTTTTTGAATTTATAAATGGCTTAGCACATGCCAACTTCATGGCTTAGCACATGCCAACTTCAAGCTGCCAAATTGGATCTAGCAGGGAAAAACTGCTGCAAAATCCACACTTTGAAGGAGCTTCAGTGGACTTTTTTATTACAGCACCAATATTGTCAAAGAGCTTCCCTATGGTGATCAGACTGGTTCTGTATTTCCTGGTTTTCCTGCAAAATTCTAAAGATTGAACTTTTTGGAGGGCCTTCCCTTGATTTCTTGTTGCTATCTTTTATTCACTTTCTCTTTTTATTGTGTTATTGTATTTTTAATATTTATATGTGTTTTGTGTTACAATATACCATGGATGTCAAACTCACAAAATCACATTGCCATCACGTGACGTATTGTGACATTTTTTCCTTTGTGGGGCTGGGGTAGGCGTGGTCTGCATATGACGTACCTGGCCCGCGGGCCGCCAGTTTGACACAACTGCAGTATATTGTATCTTTTTTGTGTGTGCTAGCAAGTCATTTTTTATTGCAGTGGCATGGAAATATGTTTCATAAATAATAAACATAAATCTTCTAATTATCTGCTTTTCTTGTGTAAGGCTGTGCAGGAAATGTAAGAATATCCCTCTCTCTCCTTCTCCCTCTCTCTCCTTCTCTCTCTCTCTCTCTCCCTCTCTCTCTGCCTCTCCCTCCCTCCCCCCCTCCCAAATTACAAAATAAAAATACATTCCAATCTGTATGTAAAGTATTGTATGGTCACTGCATAAAGTAGGCAGCTGCTTGAATAAGAAATTGAACCTTGACCACTGACGCCAGTCATCAACTACAATGCAAATTTGATGTCCTTTGGGCAATTTCCCACTCTAATTTACCCAAAGGATATTTATAAAGATAGATGTAAGTGTAGTGTTTTGAGGTTCTGGAGCAGTAATGGTAGTAGTAATAGTAGTAGTAGTAGTAGTAGTAGTAGTAGTAGTAGTAGTAGTAGTAGTAATAATTGCTGTAACAATGTTTGAAGATGTTAACTCTAGTAAATGTGACAGCTTCTGGCTCCTTAGTACCTGCTTACTTTAGAACCCTGCTTCCCAAACATTTTCTTTCATTCCCTGAAACAATTTATCAGAAAGTTTCAAAAGCAAATGCTGCTTGACTTTTTAAGATCCAACAGGACAGTATGTGATTAAGATGGTGGCTTGTATGGTCATTTGTGTGATCAAAGTCCCAGCCTATCTGTAGCAGGAGCAGGGCTTTAGTTACACAATTTTTTACCTTTACTTTTTTGATTTGCCCCCTGCCATGCTTAGCCTTAGTTGATGGAATCAACTAAGTAAGTAAGTATTTCAAGTAGGAATGGCTGACAAAATCCAGCCTCTGCTTTGTTACAGCATAAATTCAGGCAGTCCCCATGATTGTTTTTTCACACAGTATTCCTTGAATGTGCATGTTTATGGGATCAGAATAAAATTACTGGTGAAGGAAGAAGAGATCTCCTTCACATATTAGAGCATTTTGTTTTGTTGGATTTCCCTTACCCTTTGTTTTACTAAAAGATTTGAGGGAACATTTCATCTTTAAACCTGCTAGCATACATCAATTAACGATTGAAGCATGTCAGAGTGTGAATCATAATGTCTTATCCTTTTCTATATATAGTTTGACTGGAAGGTAATGTTGGAACTCTTCTCTGAGGAAAAACTTCTTATATCCTGAGAGGATATCAAGCTAATGGTTTCAACTACCGTGTTTCTCATATAATAAGGCCGGGTCTTATTTTTTTTTGAGCCCTGAAAAAATGGCTAGGCCGTCTTTTCGGGGGTGACTTAATTCCCCCCCTGTATCTTCAGGCAGGCGGGCAGCGACAGCTTGGATGTTGACCTCAGCGTTGGTGGGGCACTTCGTATCGGGGTCAATGCAGGCAGCACCATATCCGGGTGTGCAACAAAAGTACTTCCTAACGGCAAGCCCCCCCACCATTCCCCCCCCCCCATTTCACATGTTTTAATATAGGCCTTAATTTGGGGGAGGGGCTTAATTTAATTTCATACCTATAAAACATGCTGGGACTTCCTATTGGGGGAGGCCGTATTGTTGGAGAAACAGGGTAGTCACAAGAATTGATGCAGAAATTCAGATGAGAATTACCTTCAACCGCCTCTTCCTTTTCTCTACTAAATCTTTGTCTTTTACAGTCCTGGTAGTGTTAACACTAACTCCTGCTTGATTAACTTGTCCTCCATTGGAATGAATAGCCTACCTCTGAGATGACTTGAATTGCTTTGATGAAAAGATCTGTATGATGTGTGTCCCAAGGGCCATTCCATTTCTTTAAAGGGGTGAAGTTCCCAGAAACTGAATGGTGGGTGTGAGGTTATGCTCCTTCTTCCATACTTGCTTATCTCCATTTTGAATTCATCTACTAAGTTGAATCTATCTAGAATCTGCGAAAGTTGAAAGTGTGGAGAAGGAGGAGGAGAGGAAAGCTGTGAGGATGGGGTCCTTTTGTTTAATTTAATTTAGTTATCTTCAATTGTTCTGGCTACTGCTTAGAGAGAGTTATGGCTAATTACCATCTCTTGAATTAGCAATGAAGCCTTAAAACAACGTGTGCAAGCAATTCCGGTAATGAGTAGTAATGAAATTGTCTCCCCAGCACCGCAGTCAGTGGGCTTAACGGCAAGAGTAACATGTTATTTAAGCCACTCATTGTTAAATTCAGGAGATTTGTGACCCTGCGTTAGTTTTATCTGTTAAATATTTATTGATGTGACAAATTTCAAAGTAATTTGGAAACTTTTTTTTTTGAAATTGTAACAGACCATGACTACAATTTATATATAATTTTAGTGCATGGTTTGATGTTGGTTCAGGCTCTAGAACTGTCTTTATTTATAATGTTGTATATCAAAATTTCATTGAGCTTTGCAATATAAATATATATTTCTGCCACTTTTCATAATACCTGACTGCAAGTCCTTAAACCAAATTCTTTTCCTAGTATCCTCTACCAACCTTTACTGTGAATTGGGTGAGGGGGGTTATTTTGCATTCAGCTGACAAAAATATACGATACTGTTAAAAATAAAGGAATGGAGGCAGTAAAGGTTAGACTGAAAAGCATTGATAAAAATTGTGTCTTTGAAGTTTTGTTATCACTTGGCAGGGGATGCTTGCCTGCTGATTTTTAACCTTTTTTAATGACTAAGTAGGATCTGCCTCTGTCCCTTTCCTGTTTGGTTACCTCTTTCCCTTGCTTCACCTCCATCCGTTTTTATTCTGCCCCCTTTCCTTTCCCTTCTCATGGCTTATCTCCATTCTGGATTTTTTTTTTTTCATTTTCTTAGTCTCCTGGAGGGAAATATGTTCACCCTTGTATGTTCTGTGGGGGAAAGTGACCTACTTTGGTACAGGGCTAAGTAATTTTATGACTAGATTATTAAACAAGTAATTTATTTTAATCAATAATTATTAATTAAATGAGTATTGATTTATTTTCATCTTGTCTCTGCCTCTTTTTTGAAATGTGGCTTTTGGCAAGTATATCTAAATAGGTACAAGCATATACAAACAGGTATTTCACCTGCACACATTTTGTACTTTCTTTTTTTCCATGCAGTTAGTTTCTATCTTCTTTCTTTCCCATTTCCAATAATTTCTTTTCTTGATATTTCTCATGCTGTCTAATCAATCTGCCTATTCTATTCTGATGGACACTTAGTCTTCCTATTCCATTCATTCCCTCAATTGTTGTTAGTGATTTCTGCTTATTATAATTATTGATTTTTGCTATTCCAGTTGTTGGGAATTCTTATTTATGAGACTTTTTTTTGTGAAAGTGGAAATGCGAACTAATTGCAAACTTTTTATAATTGTTGAAATGGGTTTTAAAATATCTCTCTTTTTTGTATGTAATAAAGTGTTCTTTTTGTAACTTCTTTACAGCCTCAACTCACAAAATGTCAGTAGAATAAGTGAAATACCCTTAGAACCTGCCATGAACCATTTTGAAGGACCACCTGAAGGAGAGGTCAGTGATGGACTAGGAAACAGAGAAGTGAATGAATCTGTAGAGGCAGACCTAGAACATTCTGAAGTAGAAGAAGAACAGCAACAGTATGCCATTCATTACCCAAGATGTGCCAATGGCAGCCATGAACGACCTTCTAGGCAAGAAGAGGAAAGCACATTAGCAAGGTCAGCCAGCACTGAAAGTGGCTTCCATTATCATACTGACACTGCTGAAGGAGATGTCATAGCCATAGCAGAAGACAGCTATGAAGGTGACAGAGTACTCGAGAATGAAGATGAGAGTGCCTATGCGGTGCAGTACCGACCTGAAGCAGAAGAGTACACTGAAAATGCTGAGGCAGAGCATGCCGAAACCATCCATAGCCGAACTCTTCCCAACCACTTGCACTTCCATTCCATTGAGCACGAGGAAGCTATGAATGCAGCGTATTCTGGGTATGTGTACACACACAGGCTCTTCCACCGAGGGGAAGATGAGCAGTATGCGGAGCCCTACGCTGATTATGGGCTACAGGAACATGTGTATGAAGAGATAGGTGACACGCCTGACCTTGATGTGCGGGAAGGTCTTAGACTGTATGAGCAAGAGAGAGAAGAAGCTGACAACTATCGAAAGGAAGCTTTGGGTGCACGCCTTCACCACTACGATGAGCGCTCTGATGGGGAGTCCGACAGTCCTGAAAAGGAGGCAGAATTTGCCCCGTATCCTCGTATGGACAGTTATGATCAAGAGGAAGATATAGACCAAATAGTAGCTGAAGTCAAACAAAGCATGAGTTCTCAGAGCCTGGACAAAGCTGCTGAAGAGATGCCAGAAGCAGAACAAAATGTGGACACTAACATCCCTGCTAACATGCGCCATGAAAGCAGCAATCAGGTTTCAACCAACTCTAGAGCCCCTGTTAATGCAGGCGAATCAGTGCAAAGATATAGCAAGGAAAAAAGGGATGCCATATCACTGGCAATTAAAGACATTAAGGAAGCTATTGAGGAAGTGAAAACAAGGACTATTCGTTCTCCATATACTCCTGATGAACCCAAAGAACCCATCTGGGTAATGAGACAGGATATCAGCCCAACCAGGGATGGCGAGGATCAAAGACCACTAGAGGGAGATGTGAGTATACCAACTTTTGAATTGCACTTTGAAAGCAAACATGTCAGAATTTTCATTAAGTTACTACTTTATATCTTTGGCAGGTTGGTTGTGGGTTTCTTATTCGCTTTGGAAACATCATGTTACATACAATAAATATTTTTTTAGATGTGCTTTAAAATTATAATTATTAAAATGTGAACTTCCTCTTGGCTACCTTTTGATTTTTGTTGCATATCAAACAAAAAGGAAGAAAAAAATTAAGATGGCTTGCATAAAACATGAACTTTCTTGACAAGAATTCTAAGTGCTTGTGCTAATGAATTTGTTTTTGTCATCAATAGCATGTTGCCGTGCAGGAACAGAATATCACGCTAAGCTGTTGTTAGCCCTTTTGAAATATGGGACCTTTTAAATCCTCCATATAGCAGATGTTTTCCTGCCATAATCCACATAACATTGTTCCATAGTTCTTTTGAAAATACTTATTTTTTTGCAAAATTATCTTGCTTTTAATGTAGTATCCCTAATTCCTCATTATGGTATTTTTATTTTTGGCATGCGAAGTGCCAATTTTTTTTACTTCTATGGAAATTTAATACCAGAAAGGTGAACATAATAGACATTGGTAGAATTTTTTGTTCATTTTAATTTATTGGCTGCCTGAATCTAGTGGCTTCTGGACATCGTACAAAGCAAGGAAAAACATTAAAACAGTTAAAAACATTGAATAAAGCAGACAGCTCAGACTAAAATAATGTAATATACTAATAAAAGAGAATATTTATAGTTCAGGGTTGAACTGTGGGATCCTTGGTTCTCTCTGAGCTTAGTTGTTTTCTTGCAGATATTTCAGTGATGATATTACCTAGTTTGGTAATGAAACATCTGCAAGAAAATAACCAAACTCAGAGAGCACCAGTGACCCTTAATTTCAGGGGTGGGATTCAAAAATTTTAACTGGTTCTGTGGACGTGGCTTAGGTGGTGGGTGTGGCTTGATGGTCATGTTATTGGCTGGGTGTGGCCAACTCAATATCACTCACATCGAGGCATGCATCTCCTCGCCTGGCCTCTCATGACTGTGGGGATGCTGCAACAGTTGTAAGTGTGAAAAATGGTCATAAGTCACTTTTTTCAGTGCCATTGTAACTTTGAATGGTCACTCCACACAAGCAAAGTACCAGCAAAGGAGGGGGGAAAAAACTCCAGACAAGTTCCTGAGACAGGAAGTCCAGTCCTGCCAAGAATGTAATAAGGGTTAACGGAGAGGCAATTTCTCTAAGCAACACCAGAATGTTTCCTTCCTGAGTTCCTTACAGGATTAGGCCAGTAACAACCGGTTCTCCAAACTGCTTAGAATGTTAACAACCGGTTCTAGAGAATAGGTGCGAACTGGTAGAATCCCACCCCTGCTTAATTTAATATAAAAGAAAAACAACAAAACGGGGGCGTTTAACAAATAAATTATCAACTTCTAGCCTGGAATCAAAGCCAAGTTTACAAAGCTTTCTGGAACCCCATAGTGGGTGCCACCCTAATCTCTGGGAGGGATGCTGTTCCAGAGGATGGGGAAAGCACAGAGAACACACACTTCTATATGACAGTGTTTAATGGAGGTGATCTGAAGACACTCTTCTGGAATATACTGGATTGGCAGAAACAATTGGAGACAAGCAGTCTCTCATATATACAGATCCTATCTCATACCAATATTTATATGTAATAATCAGACCTTGAATTGCACTCAGAAGCCAACTGGCAACCAATACAATTCACATAGAAGTGATGAAATATAAGCACACCGAGAGACACCCATTACTGCTCACATCGCTGCATTTTGAACCAGCTGCAGCTTCATCAGTCTTGGCTGTGAAAGTGGAGCCTCATCCAAGACCAAAGTTGGTGACATTCCCAAAACAGGAGGTCCAAACAATTGGAGCTGTGTTAGGATGGAGCCAAACTCTGTTCTCCCCCATCCAGACCCAAACAGCCTCTAGATACTGGATCAGTGCATTGACAGCTTCACCTATTTCATTCAGGATGGAGATGTAAAGTTGGGCACCATCAGCATAGTGATGATAGTGTACCTCAAACTCGTGGATGAAGTCACCAAGTGCTTTCAGAAAGATACTGAACAGGACAGGGGAGAAGTGACAAGCCCTGAGACATCCCATACACGAAGGGCCATGGATACAATCTCTTCCCCCATGTCTATACTGACTGGAACTGACCATTGCGAAAGGAAGGGAGCCACTGGAGCACAGTGCATTGCCTCCTAATTCCTGTAGCCAGTTCAGAAGGATAATGTGGTTGAAGTATTGAAAGCTACTCAAATATCAAGGAGCCCTAGGATGGATGTACCACTCCCACCCCAAAGACTCCACTAAGAATCATCAGCAAGCATGACTAGTGCTAACTTTGCACTGAACCTTGATCTGGTGCCAGATTGAAAGCACTTCAGATAACAGTTCAAGATACTCCAAGATCTTTTGTAGCTGTCATTCAACTACCTTTTCCATAGTCTTCATCATAAAAGGAAAATTTGAAACTGGCTGATAATTTTCCAACAGAGATAATTCTTCAACAATTATCCAGTGATGACTTCTTGAAGAAGGGATTTACTGCTACCTCCTTCAAGGCTGGTGGGACCACCGTCTGTCTCAAAGGGGCCCAAACCACCAGATGAAGCCATCCCATGGTCATCTCCTGGATTGTTTTAATAACTCAGAAAAGCCAGGATCTAACAAACAGGGGGCTGGACTAACAGACAAGAGCACCTTGTTCACTTTCTTGGGTGTAAGAATCAAACTCAGTCCAAATAACATTCCAAGATTCTTCCTTGGGCAACCTATTAGGACTTGCCTGTCAAATCCAATTCTAAGCTAATCTGAATGACTTTGCCTATCAGATACCATGAATATCCCTCACCACAGTGTTGGAGATGATCCTGTGGCCCAAGAACTCCAATAGGAAGTGGGTCATCCTAAACAGGGTTGTAACGCAGCTATCAGCATCATGCAATAAGGATCAGAAATAGTGATGTTTTGCCCTCTTACTGCTACAGTGGAAGCCCAAAGACAGACTTTTACTCAGGTTTGGTCAGATTTACTTTTTTTCTTTCTCCAATGGCATTCTAGGCATTACTGTATTGCATTACATTACATTGTATGTAAGTTGAATGCATTCATTTGTCTATTAATCTGCTAGGATTATTTGTGGGATGTGATAAAATATTTTGGAATATAAACCAATGCTGATACACCTTATGTTTTAGACCACTGTTTAAAAGATGTACCAATTAGGCTCAGAGAGTAGCTTGCATCGAGAAATCAAACCAAAAATGAGGTTGCGGCTCCAAATGCTATATTGCATATTTGCTTGTTCCCTCAAAGCATGCAATATCCATCTGATAGAAGAAAAACTACTATGTATGTACGTACCCAGGCAAAACACTCATTCTGTATGCCCAAATATTAAAATATAATTAACAAACAAGCAAAATGTACTCACAATACACAAGCAAAAGCAGACTTCCTAGGAGAATGCAGGCAAAATGAATCCATCCTGTATTTTTCTTTCCTAAGGATATATTTAAGACCTCAAGCCTATGAAGATTTAGCACTTTACCGCATGTAGGTCACCCAGTTAAAAAGTAATTTAATTTTGAATGTCAGAAGGGAAGATCAGGAGCTGTGCAGGTCCAAAGGAATGGGTTCTGGGGCTCTCTAGTGAGCACAGATTGGGTATTTCGGACTTGTGTTCTTCAAAAAAAAAGTGGCCAGAACATTTGTGAAATTACAGATTGTCTGTGATAATGACATTTTGGACCCTCACAAATTTTCTGATCAGAACCAGGTTTCCTTTAGTAACCATTATTGTTACCACTGTTTAGAAATCGTTAGCTTTAATACATATTATTGTAATGTCGTTTCCTCAGAAGACATTGCATTTTATACAGTTACATGTTTATTGAATAAAGGCATTCCTTCCTGAATTTGTGCGTCCTCTCTCTTGGGACCAACAGAGCAATAACCTCAGACAGTGAATACCTCTCAGCCATGTTGAAGAACAGTCGGTGACTGCCTTTGCTTGGTTTGCAAGCCTCAGACAGCACAGATTTGTTTCTGTGTTGTTCTGAAAATTATACACGTGGGTAATAGGGTTTGATGAACTGGAGTTTTAACATTTTTTTAAGATAACTTGTGTCTTCACCTCTTTGTGAGGTAATGCTCATTCTATTTTTAACTTAGTTCTGAATCTGATGCTAAAGTTATTTTGTAAAGCTTCTGGGTTTTTTTCCCTACAGCAGGGACAATCTATTATTAATAAAGGGAATAGATAAGGTTGCACTGAATAATTGAGTAGGTTTCAGGTGCTGGAAGGGGCTAAAGGATTGTGACCAGCAATATGGATGTGAGGAAGTGCTCAGCATTTGCTTAAAAAAAAAAGTTTTGGAGTTGCACTTCAGAATACTGATGGAAGGGCATTTTATTTAGTGCTAATGCCTAAATTGTACAATGAACACCCGCATCCCAAAATAGCACGCTTTAAATGTTGTAATAGTCAGACCTTTGTTAATTTATTAACTGTCCCCGCCTCTTAGTTCAGTTCCTTTTATTTTGCAAACTTAGTTCAGCTTCTATTACAAATAAATAATACAAAAAAAGAAATAAACCAACATTTTAGTTTGAAAATTATAGCAGCCACAAGGAGACAATAATACAATTGTGTCACATCACTTTGGCTTTTTTTTTTAAATTTAGGTTTTTAAACAGACAAAATTCCATTTTTCAAGAGAATTTTGTTACATGTCATGAGCCTTGGTGTATGTGCCTGTATGCATCATGCTTCAACCTTTAGATGCTAGAAGTTGTCTATTGTTTGGGGGCTAGTGAAGAATATGTTACAGTCTTTATTACATAATTATACTTTTCTACAAAGTTCGGATAAATTCTTTGCAGAGCACATATGTTATCCTGTATTCAAAATTTATTTGCAGATATTTGTATTAATATGTTCAAATCAGACATTCTCTCACACACACACATTCCTCACTTTTTGGATTTTGGAAAATAACATTACAATGAGTGCACTCATTTAGTGACTATTTGAACTTGTGAAGGCACAAGTGGTATTTACAACCAGTTCTCAGAGTTCTGTCCATGACAGCACACCCACAGTCATTTGATTGCGATCTGGGTACTTGGCAATCAGTCTGGATTTCCACTTCGCAATCTCTTATGGTGACACAGTTACAGTTGTGACGTTCTCTGCTGGCTTCCCACAAGCAAAGTCAATGGAGAAGCCAGCAGGAACTTGGAAGTTGTGGTCATGTGACAATGTCTTAATGACCAATTTTTCAACAGTAGTGAGGTCTGCCATTGCTAAACAACACAGTCGCGTGATGTTGAAATTCTTATTCCAATTACCATTGTTAAGTGGGGAATACTTAGCAATATAGTTTCTATTCCTACATTTATTCTATTTTCATATCATTTTTTTCCCACTTCTTTCTTCTCATTCTTGGTCTAAGACTGATTCTTGATATTCAGTATCAATAAAATTATGTCTCACTTCATTCAGAAGCTCTCATTCTTTCAGTTTTTTATTATAAACAATTAGATCAGCCATGCTGTTTGATTTGTTTCTTTTGCATGCATACAAAGGACTAATGTTTAAATCATGTATGTTTGAAATGAATATGGAATATTTGAAATTGAAATCATGTATTTTGAAATGAGTATTTAAAACAACAATTTCATTTATGCCAATATGTATTTAACTCTGCATTGCTCACATTGTTTTAAAACATATTCAGTAGAAAAGTTTTCAAATTTATCTTTGGTTCTTAAAAGAACCATCGAGAATATTTTTCTGGTTGCTTTGACAATGACTCATAATGAATCAGTTTAAAATAAACTGAATAATCTAAATGCTTCTTTTCTATTTCACATGTTGATAATAGTATTTGCTACTGTATTGCTATTATTTGGAAGCCACTAGTAGGATTAAATTCTGATAGATATAGGCTCCTGAAAAGCAATAAAATAAAAAGAATAGACAGCTGACAGCCTTTTATGGAGCAGGAGCTATTTGCTAAAGTAGAATGACCTTCTTACAGCTATTAAATAACAGAGAAGGTTAATCTACATAGGTAGCACAGCAACATCTCCTATTACTGGCTTCATTTTCAAGTCTTGAGCGTATAATACCACTGGAAAAAGCAATTTGCTGCCATCTGCTAGTGGATTATTTTCTTGTTGAACAGCAACATCAAAATGGAGAATTTCTGGATGTACGACACTGAGTACCTTAGGAACATGGTAGGTAAATTATAGAAATAGAATAAATAGTGATCGATGCTGCTGCCCTATGCATGTTTACTCAGGATTAAATCCTATTGATTTAATTAAGGTTTAGCCCCACATTAGTAAGTATAGGTAATATTCATTGAAATGGTTTTATTAGCATAATTACAAATTGTTAGTAAGATTGCATTACAATAAAAATGAGTTTGTTAATTTGTCATAAATAAATAAAGGATATAGATTATATACTTTGTTCTGCCTAATGTAGGATATGATAATTTGCATATGATAACTCATAAAACAGGAAATGCATATTGGAAGTAGTAAGTAAGTTAATATTTGTGCTGGAATTTTTTGTTGAGTGAAAATATGTCAATCATAGCACCAGGTCTTGCAAGAGAACCACAGTTTTCGATAAAGGCACTGCTTATTGGTATGATGTGTCAGTGCTAACGATTCAGAGCAAATTGCCTATATTTCGTATGTGGATCTGAACTTGACAGCTTAGTATCAACAACAGAATTATGTTCAGGCAACTATAGTCTTGGTATACAAACGGTGTAGTATGTAAGAAAAACATGTATGAAGGAGCAGGGAAGATGAGCCGAAAGAAGATGGGAGATGCCTCCTTACTCTCAAATATATCTGAAAATAAATTGGCCACCATTTGGACCTGTATATGATGAATGAAGAAAGAATAATGGGGTAGGTTGTTTATATTAATTTTACAAACCTTTTGATTTCCAGAACTATCATGGGTAAATATTGCTAGAACTGAATCCGAAATTGATAGATAATACAGTAAACATTATTTACTTATTTACATAGATTTAAAGAATGCCTGACTCCCAACAATTCTGAATCCTTTATATTATAGAAAAAGCTAGAACAATCAAATAAAGCAGAAAAGGGGTCTTCATCAGGAAAAGAAAACAAAGCCTTACATCATCCTATCCCCAGACCTGGAATATAATCCAGGTTTTCAATACCTTTTGGAATATCATCAAGGTGGAAGCCATATGGATTGGGAGGAATGAGTATTTGGGGGCACTTTGGGCTTGTTATCTATTGACAACTGCTTAAAACAAACATGGCTTTTGGGGGGTATTGTATAGGGCCACCATGCATTTCTCCCCCCCCCTCCCCATTTCTGGGAAAGAAGATGCAAAAATTAAAAGAGTTGCCAAAATGCTTTGAAGCACTTTCTTTAAATTCTAAGTACTGCTCAAGCTCTCAATTTTATTTCTTTATGAGTAAAATATAAATCTGAATATAGTATTGTGGAAATTCACTTAAATTAACCGAGTTTACTATTTTTTTGGAACCCACAATCCAATTTTGAATCTTGAGACCAAAATAGTAAAATGTTGTATGTTACTTGCTCAGAGTTTTATTTCCTTGCATATCTTGTAGTCGCCATCTCCCGATCCATCTTCACCTCAGGGTGCTGAATCATCAAGTACACAACACCATCAAGATGCCTGTGGTACAACAGAAACCCCCACCAATAAGGAGGTAGAGTGCAATATTTTTAAAAGCAGTGCATTTATTAGAAATGTTTTCCAAGTTTAATTTTATGTTTTGCATTACACAAACTGGAAATATGACTATTTTTGGATACGTATTTCTCTTCTTTAAAGATTTAAAGATTTCATCACTATCTGCAGTGCCAATAAATTTTGTTTGTCAATAAGAAGGCAGGTTTATAAAAATAGGTTACTAAATAATCTTGAAGGGGTGTTACTGAGAGTATTGCACCAACACAAATTCCTTGTGTGTCCAACCATGCTTGGCCAATAAAGAATTCTATTCTATTCTAGGTTTATTTATTCTCTTTTAAAATATCTTCCATAAAAAAGAAGTAGAAATTGTATTTTCATGTAACTCTATTTCCTATAAAGCAATGCTTTTGTCACTTTGTTGTATACTGGCAAAGTTACATACTTTGTAGTATACTGACAAAACATATCAGTTGCTTTTCTTTTCTCAGGTTTTATAAGTATAAACTAATAATGACTTTCTTTGTAATGTTTATAATATTTGCTGTGATAGGAGAATTTAGACATTTGCTCCAAACAACAAATAAAAATAAGTCCCCTTCTTTGTTCTTTAAAGGCAGCAGAGATTTTGATTCTTTGGAACCAAGTTTGTCTACTAGGTATGAGAACGCACAAAACTAGCAGCTGAAACCAGATTCATTAAGTCATTTCTGCTTCACCTGCTTATATGTTGAATACTACTACAAAATATGGACCCTAGAAGCGGAAAAGATTTTTAACTGACCAAAAAGATGAAATCCAAATATCATCTCCAAATATGATGCTATAGCATTAATAATAGATTCATGCATATATAGTGGGTACATTTCTCATTATGTTTGTTTCATATTATCTGGACTCTTACATTCCTTTTTGCAAAAGTAATAACTGTAACTTGGGAATATGGCACTAAAGACTAATAGAAAGTGTTAAGTTTTCTAAAGTATAGGAGAATTGCCTCTCTAAATTCTTCTATGTTTGAAAAAAAGTATCAAAAAAATGAATCTAGTAGCCACATCTGAAAACCATTCCTACTTCTATAATTACTTATGAAATTCCTCGGGGTTAGTATATTAACATTTATTCTGACATTAATGAAAATTCCAATATGAACCTGTTTTCTAATGCCTCCAGCCAAGTTTTTCTTCAATACCACAATTCAATCATTTTTCTTCCCCCACCTTTGCCCCCCCATGATATTTGCTGTGAAAGGGAGAAAAATAGAATAGCTACCCCAGAACTTAAACTGGTAACTGTTGGAGCAATCTTTTGGCAAATTTCATGGATGAGTCTCTTCACCCACTCAATCTGCTGTGTTAAGACTAGAGTGGGGAACCTTCCTTTTGGTAGTTGCATTTCTTCAAAGTACAGTAATGTGCCAGGGGCCATCTTGGAGGGCAGGCTAAAGCGAGTGAGTGAGGTCAGAGCCCAAAGTTAGTTGTGACAGAGCTGTTTTATCTCTGACAACCTCCCCCTTTCTGTCTTCCTCTTCGTTCCCTTCTGTAAGAGAACCTAACACAACCAAGACCAATGGTTCAAGGTGATGGAGCAAGGAATAGAATAGAACAGAACAGAACAGAACAGAATAGAATAACAGAGTTGGAAGGGACCTTGGAGGTCTTCTAGTCCAACCCCCTGCTTAGGCAGGAAACTACACCACTTCAGACAAATGGTTATCCTATATATTAATCATTATCCTATATATTAATCATTATACAATCATTTTTGTATAAAACCAAATACTTAAGGCAAGATTAATCAGAATATTGCACACAGTGCTGTTTGTTACAAAGATTATAAATTTAAACCTTTCACCATATACATTCTATTTCAGAAGGAATCTAGACTTTTGGTAATAACAGTAGCTGGAATGAATCACACCTCTTATATCAGTTAAATTAAGTTTGTGCACATGATAGCAGGCTGTTCTCATTAACTTTATACATCTAATTATGCTGCTTTATTATCACGCCTATTGAATACAGTAGACAACGTACTATAACCTGTTCATTGCAATTGTATAAATTATTTAAAGGGCTTATTAGTACAATAGAGTCAAAAATAATTGCAGGCATGTAATGGATCAGATGATGATCCCAGTGACAATTTCTTCTGTAAAAACAGATGTCAGAATTTTACCTAATGCTTAATTTTCAGAAACTGCCTTGTTAGCAGACTCTTTTCTATTATTTGGTAGTAACTTTTTTCTCACTTGGATCTTATTTTCTTATTCTAAGCTATTGCAGCATTGACAATCCTAGTTACTTTCAAATGAATATTTATCACATCAAAAATTATGTATGTAATAATAACACAACTAATAACCCGCATAATTTGATTGACTTGCTTATAAGATCCTAACATAGATGCTCTTCATTCATTTTAAGTTAAACACTAGACAACCCATGACCCATTGGGTCATAATTCAAATTTTTTTTTTTACCAAATTCCACAGTGCCTTCAACAATGATAGAGCTTTTAACATACTGGAAAAGTTAATAAAAATTCAGGGATACATTCAGAAATGTATCTGCCTTAAAAATAGACTATGTTGAATTTTAGAGTACATCAAACATCAGTACAGGAAACATTTTACAGCATTTTGTTTTATGTCATAAACCATTTTATTAAAATGTTTATGTCATAAAATATTTTATAAAAATTTCCAACTTTCCATAGAAGCCATTGGTGCTGGATTTTAAATGCATTCTGTTAGCTCATTCGACAGTCCTTGGTTTAAAAATTGTTACCCTACGATGCAGTTTCACCCAGTTAAAGGTTACAGGAACTACAGTTTTAATAGTATATAGGTTACAATAAACAGATAAAAACTAATGCAAACTAAAAAAATGAAAGAATAAAACTAAAAACTGCAATATGCAGAAAAGGAAAGAAACTAGAAAGAAAAATAGAAAAGAAAGAAATATCGAAAGAAATAACTAAATCACAGCAAGTCTAAACAATTTTAGTAATATTATCTCTTTTCTTAGCTATAAACAAATCCTTAAAGCCTAATAATTCAATCCTAGTCAGCAAAAGTCTATTAAGGATTACCAGAGATAATAACATACTGTATCTATTTTAACCTTGATGTACATTTCCCAGGACAGCTATAGAAATCAAACAAATAAAAATCAATTTTATGTTCTTTCTTTTAACAATCTTGATATTTCATCTTTTCAAATAAATTGACTTCTTTTCATGTTTCTTTGTTCCATCTCTAAAAACGCTTCAAATTTTTAACGTTAGTTATGTAATGTAGGGAAAATCCAGTATAGGAAAGTTATCCAGGTCACTCTTTTGGTTTGTTATTTGTATATCCCTTTTTCTTACTAAGATGTCCATCAGTTTCATTTGTATATCCAGTGTATCTTTTTTCCATATCATTATTGTAGCCTGTCATTTTTAATTCCACTATCAGATCAGTCTCAGTCTTGTTCACTAAAAAATGTTCCTCTTCCATCATATCCTTTAAATATAGCCTATCTATTATGGCAGTCACTCTTAAAATTAACTTCTGGGTCTGTTGTTCACATTTTTTTTTCAATAGGCCCATGTTAAAGTATTTTGCTCCATTCTGTATTAGTAAGTCAAATTTAAGTGTTTTCCTTTAATTGTAATCTTTAGTTCCTTCTGGTTCCGTCTAGTGTCCAACTTTCAAGGTTCCATCCTAACATTTTTTTTTAAAGAATTGAAAAACAACAGGATTTTCCAACAGGAAGGATTCTTACAATTAATTTCAAAATCTTATTTCAAAGGCATTTTGCCCCTTCATCTGTTCTTAAGTTTCCAAAATCCAAGTTCTAATAACCCTTTTGCTGTTTATTCCAAAAATGATTTTTAAAGTCCCTAAATTTATATTTAAAACTTCTTTTGCTAAAGATTAAAGGAAACTCACCTGGTGCTGTAAAACATATTGATACAAAAGTTCCTAATGGGTGAAAAGCAGTTAATAAGCAGTTTCAAAAGTGGTTAGAAATGGAAGTATGCAATCACAGCGTCCATAAAGCTGCCATCCATAATTTGAACAAAGATCCAGACTTCACACCCACTGGAGGTTGCTGTCTTGAGGTATCCTCAAAATGTGCGGGGCCATTTGTGTATCATCTCAAATCCTCTCCTTGTCCAGAGAGGAATTATAAAGTGGTCTATTCAGTAACTTTTCATTCTGCCACTTTGTTAGCTCTGCTTTTAGCGGAGGCATCTTCCGTTCATTATTTTTTCCCTGGAAGTCCTGGATATTGAAATCCTTGAATTTTTTGCATTATTTTTATTAATAACATCTTGTGTGTTAGAAATATTAACATTTATATACATGTGTAAATCTGGAAAGTCTTAATTAATGCTAAGGGTATACATTGCAGAATAACTTATTAATAAAGAACTAATACTTTGAATCATGTTTAAGTATTTCTTAATAGGCTGTCTACAGAGATTGGGTAATAACTGTCATTGTGTGATGAATTTGCCAGGTCTGCATGAAAGGCTTTTTAATGCAAACCTCAGCATGCTTAGCTTGGTTTGATATCCTGTTTGTCTTAATTACAGTCAAGGAAGAGCTTGGCTTCTTTCCCAACCTATGTTGAAGGTAAGCTGTCAACCTGTCTTTTGTTTCAATTTAAATTAGTCTGTACAGATATATAAAGTGGGATGAATTATTAAACTGAAAAGTTTTTAGATTCATTTGAATGTTTTCAGAGATCTCTATTTATGCATAAAGAATGGAAGAACACCTGAGAAAGAAGCGGACTTTATCATTTGAGATTGTCAAGAAAGAAATGTCATCCCTGAAGGATTCATCTGTTTAAAAAAAATAACAACTTAATCAAAATTTGTGGATTTTTAGAAATAGGAATTGGTTAAAAGAAATAACACTGGAAAGAAAACAATAAACTTGATTAGAATAGTAACTTCTTTGATTGTTTTGTCTGTCAGCAGTTGAATTAGAGTTTTAGTTAAATAACTTTATTACAAGTTTTAAAAAGAAAAAGTAAAACTAACAAGAACAATGAAAGAAAGAAAGAAAGAAAGAAAGAAAGAAAGAAAGAAAGAAAGAAAGAAAGAAAGAAAGAAAGAAAGAAGAAAAAGGCAAAGCCAAAAGCACAGGAAAAAAGAAACAAAATATTAAAAAGTAGCTTCTGATTTTTTTTTACAGCAGTTATAGCTATAAATGTAAATTAACTCTTATTCTGGATTACAGAATTTCTTACATCACATTTTTCTATAATCATTTTTTTTCTATTCATTAAACTGAATAGAACATATATCATAGTTTAATTTTTTTTATTTCACACAAAAAGTATTTAAGAAGTCTCCGGTCAGCATTAAACTTAATCTCTTTTCTCTGATCAAAGCAATTAATTTGTCCATCTCAGCAAGTTCTATCATCTTTACCATCCATTCTTCCATTTTGAGTAATGTCAAAACTTCACCTTTGTATAAAAATAAAGTTCTTTGACTTCTTTCCAACAGTTTATTGATTGGTTTCAAAAGAAATACCTCTGGTTTCAATTGTATATTAATCTTTAAAATCTTCTGAATTAATATATGCAATAATATTATTGAGTTGAAAATTTCCAGAAGTTTTACACAACTATAAAGTATGCTAAAATATCCATCATAAATTTGAAATACTTTTATATATTCTAGACTATTTTAATTGAAATATACCAGCAATAAATCATGTTATTAAAAATCCACTTTAAAGATTATAATGTATATTTAATCCTTTTGCATATTCTTCCACTGTTCCATTTATACATTATAATCAAATTTTAGCCTATTTTATATCTTCCTTCACTTGTTTTTCAACATAAATTTATACATTTAATAATAACATGTTCATCCTTTGTACACAGTTCTATTTCAAACTCAGTCTTAACACTGAGACCAATACCTAAATCTTTCTAATAATTGTACATGAGAAAACCATTGACTAGAGTCTTCTTCCAGATATTCTCTTTATTTTATTTTGGATTTTTCCTGACAAAAATTGCAATATCACCATAAATTAGTCATTTGTGTTTACTTATCATTTTTCTTCAGTGAAATTCTTCTAGTGCTAAGAGCTACAAAGATATTTTTAGGCACAGTCTGGGTTCATGTCTGTTCCATATTTTCAATATTGCACATCTAACAAAATTATTTTTAAAATCTACATTAATCTTAGTTTTATTATATCATAAGTATCCATGCCCTCCAAATCTCAGATCATGTTCTTCTAGTTGCAAAAGCCCTGCTTACAGCAACATCCACTCTTTCATCCAAACTATAAACAGCAACCTGCAAAATATAATCTCAACTCAGGTAACCCCAGTCTTGCTTTTTGTTTTTTTGTATCTGGTAACACCTTATATCTAACTCATGATTTTTCCCCTGCCACACAAATTTAGATATAATTTTCCACATAATTGATATACAATGACCAAGTGAATATTGTCCTAAACAGAACTTTTGTAAAATACAAGCTGATTAGTCAAGACCTTGTTGATGATCCAAACTCAGTCAAGGACCTTGGAATACTCATCTCTAATGATCTAAGTGCTAGAGCCCACTGTAACTACATAGCCAAAAAGGCATTAAGAGTTGTTAACCTAATCCTACATAGCTTTTTCTCTGGTAGTATCACATACTAACTAGAGCATACAAATTTTTTTCCTAGACCAACACTCGAATACAGCTCATCTGGAACCCACATTACGTATCTGATATTAACACAGTTGAGAAAGTCCAGAAATATTTCACAAGAAGAGTTCTCCACTCCTCTACGCGTTGCAGAATAACTTATGCCACCAGACTCGAAATTCTAGACCTAGAAAACCTAGAACTACACCGCCTTCGGTCCAATCTAAGTATAGTATATAAAATCATACATTGCAATGTCCTACTTGTCAATGAATACTTCAGCTTCAACCATAACAATACAAGAGCACACAATAGATGCAAACTCAAGGTTAACCGCACCAAACTTGATTACAGGAAATACGACTTCAGCAACAGAGTGGTCAACGTCTGGAATACTCTACCTGACTCTGTGGTTTCTTCCCCAAACCCCAAAAACTTTAACCTTAAACTGACTACTATTGACTTCACCCCTTTCCTAAGAGGTCTGTAGGGGGCGTGCATAAGCGCACCAGTATGCCTACCGACCCTGTCTATTGTTTCTCTTTATTTTTCTTATATGTATCCATTTCATGTATTCATAATTATGTTTATGCTTATACCTATTGTAAGCGATTGACAAATCAAATAAATAAATAAAATAAAACGTAGCACTCAGCCATGTTAATTGTAGAAATTCTCCCCAGCAATGACATTTGTGCTTTCACCCATCTTAACATATTTTTTTAATTTCATGCCATGTCTTAGCATAATTATTTTGAGATAAAATACCAATCAAGTATTTTACCTCCTTCTCAATCTTAGAACCCATTTTATTCATTATTTTTGATCTTATGTCTTCATAGTTTTTGTTACCATCTTTGCCTTCTGCTTAAAACTGTTCTTAAAACCGGTCAATGCATCAGTTCTTTTAGAGGTGCATTGGCTTAACGATGCTGGAGATGGTCTGCTCCAGCAATTCAAGCCTAGCCCTGTGGTGGGATGAACTCCCGTCACTCAACTCTGCTTCTGTCCACCTAATAGTTTGAAAGCATGTTCTATGTAAGTAGATAAAAAGGTACCAATTTAGTGGGGATATAAGTTGGTGTTCTGTGCAGTCAGGCAGGTTCCTTTGAGGCAGGGGTGGGCAAACTTTTTGGCTCGGGGGGGGGCCTCATTGACTTTTAAAATTTGACAGACGGGCCGCCACTGGTGTCAAAATGCCTGTCATTACAAGTCAAAATCAAATGAATGCAATCATTCAATCATTCACATCAAACCTTAATTCTGTACCAATCTTTGGTGGGCCATATTAAAAAGACCAACGGGCCGGATGTGGCCCCTGGGCCGTAGTTTGCCCACCCCTGCTTTAAGGGATCCTTATTTGGGACTGAATTGGTGGCAAAACTAGCAACTATTTCTTCACCAATTTCCTCTTACCTGCTATTTGACAGAGAAAAGGGAAGCACACATTTCACATTACCTCTGTTTTGGCATTATGTTACTTATTGTATCTGGTATAGGATTTTAACATAATGATTTTCCTAGCCAGATTCAAGAAAGAAACTCCATCTCGATCACATTTACATCTTTTTCTCGTTTGCATATCTGTACAATCAAGAGTCTGTTAATAGTGTTAATAGTAATGGTGTTAATAGTAAGTGGCTAGTGAACAATCATTGTACTGACTTTAAATTGACGTGCTATCTAGTGTCTTTGTCAAACTATAGTAAAGGATTGGTATCTAGCCCTTTTTATTAACTCACACAATCATTTCAATATAAAAGGCATATAGATTTTAGATTCAAATCATGTTTATCAACTCATATCTGAAAATGCTACTTTTTAAAAAAAATGGTGATATGATACTTGTGCTTTTCAATCAGCTATTAGGTCCAATATATGTATCACTAATTCTGCATTGCTAATTTGCCCCTATAATACGTCGAAATAAACTGAATCTATGCACACCTTAAAGCGAGTTTTGTTTGTGCATGCTGGTGTTCAGCATTGAAAGCAACAGTAAGGAGTAATAACTTTGCATGCCCTCTGGCTGTACACTAAATTATGTTCAAACATATTATGTATGGATGTTTGTAGTTTAAAAAAAGATTTTTTTAAAGAAACCCAGACCTGAAAATTGAATAAATAGCACCTGAAATAGCTAGTGGCTTACATTTTTATTGCTTATAAAAAGTACTTCCAACCTTTGGAAGTAAGTTGCTTATTTTTCCTTTGGTTTATGCATTCATAGACCTTATTGGGTGGATTATGTTTTATTTTACTCCTTATGCCCAAAGAACTCTCCTCCTGTGCTTGTCTATGGAGGATTAAGAAACAAAATATGTATTGTGACATTGCAACACAAATTTCACCCCTTTTGTGCAAAGCGCTGGATTCAGCAAACTCCACTTTCCCTTTTTTTTCAATACCACAAACCCCAGAGATAATAGTATTTGTGGGACAATGGCACAAAGCAAGAATAAGTTAGGGTGCATCTTGCAGTCTTACTCTGAAACATTTGCTATCACAGCACACTAGTTCTTGTTCTGAACATTCTTCAGAATATTCTAGATCTGTAAATAAAATCTAATTAAGTTGTATTGCAATCACTGCCTTACAGGTCAACAATAAATTAGGCTATTTACAATCCTATGTATTCTTGGAGAATGAATTACATCTAGCATATTAAGATATGCTTCTCCAAATATACTTGCATAACAGTTTCTTCCAGTTATTGGCACCTACATTTTAATTACACAGGCCAAGCTTCAAATGGCTTTTTGAAATTATGCCAACATAGTTTGATTTCAACTGTTGCAATTTTGGTTGAATATTAATTTTATATTACACTGTCATATTTAATTTTGATCTGTGTGACTTTTGTTTGAACCAAAAAGATTCAATTCCATGATCTAATTACTGTATGCTTTGCATTTTAATTTGCTAGAGTAAATTTGTTTTAATCTTCAAAAAAACTTAATATAATTAGAATGACATTTACATTTCTTAATGATACTAGCAACAACTAATTAAAAATATGAAGTATTTATAGATGTTTTAATTTAAATCTGTCTTTGTCTTTTACCACAACATTTTTCTATCCTAAACTTTTTTAGTAAAGTTTACAAAAAGTACCGTAATTGAATTGAACAATTTGAATTGCTCAACTTTATTGAATGTATGTTCTTAGAAAGTGTTATTTTATTAAGCAAGGTGATAGTACCAATTCAAGTGGAAGATTATATGAATTGTTAGAGTCTGTTTTCCCTATCACAAATTCCACTGCTGAAGAAGCAAATAACTTTTTCAACAGAATAGCAAGATTATATATAACAAGACTTGTATACTAGTATACTGCTTCATGCTTTACAGCATTCTCTAAGTGGTTTATAGAGCCATCATATTGTCCCAAATAATTTGAGTCCACATTTTATTGACCTCAGAAGGATGGAAGGCTGAGTCAACCTTGAGCCATTCGGGATTGAACTCCTAACACTGAGCAGTGAGTTTGTCTGTAATACTGCACTCTAACCACTGCACCCCCACAGCTTCAGAAAATGAGGAGGCAATAATTCCAATACTTCATGGTATTCTTTTATGCATATGTAGATGTTCTTTGGAACCCGATTTTATTTGAGCATATTACCTTTTCATCTGTGAATTCTCCTTCTACCAAGGACAATAGAAGCATAAAATTACCTCTCAAATCAATCAGAAGGTTACTTTTTTACTGTCTTTTCTCATATCAATAGGACCAAAGGAGAAATGCATTATATTTTCTTATATTAGCGAGCCTGTTAATTCACTTATTGATAAAATAAATTACTGAAACATGTTTTAGAAATTAGTGCTTTATAAATGTATGAGTTCTATACAACAGTCAAAGTGAGATTTTTTTTCCTAGGATTACATCTAAGTATATATGTACATTTCATGATTTAGAAGCAGAAGTGAACTTTTGGGAAAGCCAATTCGATCTCGTGATTAAGGCAGTGGGCTTGAAACCAGGCAAGATGAATAGTAGTTCTTGCCTTGTCACAAAGTCATCTGGGTAACCTTGGGACAATCACTCTGTTTCAGCCTAATCTAACCCTAACCCTAACCCTAACCCTAGGTAGGAAATAATGGCAAATCACTTCTGATTTGTCCAGGCAATCACCATGCACACACACAATGAATTGTGAGAATTTTGAAATCTTGTCCTCTTTTTGTGGCCAAGAAAGTTTTAAAAACTGTGGGCAATCTGGAGAAAGGATACATTATTGAAAGCTAGGAGGGGTTTTCAGAAGTCTTCATAATGCCTCAATAATGATCCAGCTAATCCTATTGTATAAAAATTTCTAACTAAAACAAGAAAAACTAGAGTTTTCATCTCCCACTCTGCCCTTTTCAAGTTACTGCACACATTTCAAAAGATGCATTTGTATTACTATGTCAGATACATAATTAAGATAGATGTTTATGTCAGAGCCACTTCGCGGCGACACATTATTAGTTATTTATGTATTCATATGTCCCCCTCTCACAATCTCATGGAAGTGATTCTGGGTGACGTGTAAAGTTAAAACAGCAAGAATCTCACAATACAATATCTGAAGTTAAAACAATAATCTCAATTTATAGAAAACAATTTTAATCAACAGAGCTCATCTTTGGTCCATCGATGTCTACTAGCTGCCTATCTAACTCCATGGATTGTTGCTATTGTTTAAGATGAATGTTGGCCATGTCATGAAGCTAATACATGGCCATTATTTAATTTCCTTTTTGCCCACAACTTTGGTTATGTCAGTTGGTATTGCTTTCCTTTCAAGCTAATGAATAATCAAGACTAATAATAATAATACTTTATTTGCAGTCACAGATCAAAACACAAGTACAACAAAAGAAGAATATGGGAAAATTAATCATGAACAATTGGTCACCAAAAACTTGACTAAGGGGAATTACAGCATTCTCCTCTGATGGTTACAGCTTTTTTAAAAAAATTGGAAACCAAAGAAGTGATACATGAGGAGCCACCCCCTAGACAATATAAGAACAAATTACTAACATTGGGTCTAGAAGGTTCTGTTTCAAGGAGAGACAGTAACTTAGATCTGCCTGCGTTATACATAGGGCAATATAAAAGGACATGCTCCACAGTTTCAACCTCAGCTCTGTCACAGGGGCATAGCCGCTCATTAATTGGGAGCCTCTTAAATCAAGACTAAAGAATAAAGGCCATTGCTAGGGCAGAGGCATGAGTGCACTCTGTGCCTTTCTGAGATGGGGAGAGAGAAAAAAATCCATTCAGGTTGTTTCGCTTAAGGGGCACTCCTCTCACAACAGAACAAACGAATGTCAAAATAAATTAGATTATCAAGTGTTTTCTCTGATAGAGAAGAGTCCTTCTGTTCATTTCTGATTGTATCAAATCTTTTAGGGAATGATGATTTTTAACCACACCAGAATTCCATCCTGCATATGCTAATACTAATAATAATGTATTCTGTTATTTTACTGTTAGTAATATAATTTTGCCCAATAACTCAATTTTCATGTACTGTAGTTCCAGGGCCTTGTGATCCTGAAGATTTAATTGATGGAATCATATTTGCTGCCAATTATCTTGGCTCAACTCAACTCCTTTCGGACAAAACTCCGTCCAAGAATGTGAGAATGATGCAGGCTCAGGAAGCAGTGAGCCGAATTAAGGTGAAAATCAGTCATTCTCTTAATGTCTGAGTTATAACTCTGAATAATCCATACTTTATCTCTGTAATGAACCATACTCTGGAAATGGTCCTATTATTGAATTGAAGTGTTCGTTATTTTTATGCACCATCTGCTTTCATAATTTGTAGATTAATATTTTGTTATAATTGAGTGCAGTAGACAGATAGTACATTCAAATAAATTTATCTTCCCTTTATCCAAAGACGAACAATGCTCATCTGAAAGGAGAATATTGTTTCTACAGTTGTTGGTTTGCAAACAGCAGCTGGGCCCTAAAAATCAAAATTGCCAAAAATGATTGACAAGCTTTCAGAAACAATAGATTACAACAAGCCAAGACGTAGCAGTTAAAAGGGAACCTAGGCGTTTGATTAGAACAGCTTATTTCCCATATAACATGTCGAGAGTAAAATGGGACCTGCCAAATCTCAAATTTTAGAATATTCCAACCTAAATTATTATGCAAATGCAGAATTTATATATATGAATCAGAGTCCACAAAGAACCAGGGATTACAAAGGATAGAAGAGATACAATTCAGACGATGTTTCATAAAATAGGATTAATTTACATTCAATAGAACTTTTTACATAATACATCTGGGTCTTTAGGTAACTATTTAGATTATGGCACCGGACATCTTAATATGGTAATTAAAATATTATACAGCAAAAGTACTGTAGCAAATCAGCAGAGTACTTTCTCTCTTACTGCAGAATTTAACATTGTATAAAATATATGCAAATAATGGCACTGTTTGGTTTCTATAAAAGTGATTTAAACTTTTAAAATAACTGATGTTAGAAATTTATAGGTACTGCTCAATCCAGCAAGACTTACTTAAACCTCATTGATTTTGTTAAGCTTAAAACAAATGGATGGTTAACGATGCTTAACTTTGGCTGAAGTTTGGGCAATACAACAAATAGTGAAATATGTTACACGTTAAAAGCAGTACATATTTATAAATTGAATTGTTTCACCTTGTCAAAAGTGGCACGAAGCTAACATTTCATGAAAGTACCTCAAATAGTTACTAACACAGAAATAAGTCATACCTTATTTTGTATATTTGTATAATTTTGTATGACAAATGTCTGTCCCATGGTTCTATTACATTTGTATGCTCTCTGTGAAAAAAAGATGAAATATTGCTAAATATTTGAGGTTCTTTTGAAATCAAAATCAGCTTTGTTCACATCATTTTGCTGTTCTTCATCAACCGCCATACAACAGATGAGACATTATAAATAATACATTGGTTTCAAATTAGAGCTAAGTTGCAAAATGTTTCTTAATGTTTGGTGCATTATCAGTCTATTAAAAAAGATAATCTAATCTAATATTCTCATTCTCTTGGAATTAAGAAAGCAACTCAATTAACAAATATATTTTCATATGATCTGTTTCTGCTTAATGGGCATTTTCTTGTTTATGTGGAAAGAGGGAACACAAAACTCCTATGTACAATGGGAGCAGATGGGGATGGCAGTGTATCATAAATTAAAGCACTTCCTTTTGCATCTATTTCTTTGTGCGTCTTCCTGAGCAAACTTCATACAGTCTAGCCAGCTTAGGATATGCATTGTTTTTACATTAAGCAGCCTTATTTAATAGTTAAACTTTCCTTTCACTAGTTAATTCTGGTAACCTGTTGCTCAGAAATCAGGATCTGGAATTTCACTGCATAATGAGCAATAGTGTTGGATGATATTTTTGGCTTGCATTCATAGAAATGCATTTGTCATCTCTAACAGCATTTGTAAGGGTGTATGTAGTGATAAGATATTGGACAAGGAGCCCTAAATCCTAACAGCAGGAGCTTTGGGTCGGTCATTCTCTCTCAGCCAATCCTCCTCGAGATTGTTAATTGTGGGGAGAAAAGAGGAGGAAGGAGCTCTCTGTGGTCTTCTTTGAGCTTGCAAGGCTGTATATAAATCAAGTAAACAGGACTAAATAAATTATTTTATTAAAAATCAGGAAATAATTCAACCCCGTGCCTAGAATTTTATTAAAATAAACTTTATGTTTTTTAATATGTAATTTGCAATTCAAAATAATTACTTAATCTCACATTGTGACATGAAGATGTATATCTAAAGCAGACCAAAAGTGGTTTATTTGTTTTTGTTTGGTTTGGAATTGATTTACCCCAATGTCCTTATTTTGAAAACAATCTCATGGATGACATTTATTGAATTCTGCTCTATAAGGAGGCCACAGTCCCTAAGAAGTAAGTTTAAACTAATAAGATTCTCCTTATAGTGAGAAAGGGATCAACATAGCAAACCATCCAGCTGAGTTTCTTTCAGGTAGCCTCTGGGGAAATAATATCCACTGATAGTTGCTAGTTTTATTTCATGGTGGTGTTGTTGAAGGTGAAGGTGCTGAAGGTGACATCTACACATCTTGAAAGTTTCAAGGTTGAAAAACAATGATATCAATGTATTGTACTGCAAATACCATAGTTCCTAGTCAACACCAAGAGCCATGTTGGTTGAAATGTATAAAAGTTGTAATGTGACAAAAATGGGAGACTGTAGGTTGGAAAGGCTGTTCTAATGTACTGTTATACACAGTTTAATTAGGTGACACCAACAGGTGTACTGCTATAGATCCCTGGTTGACATAGAGTCTCTACAAGATGTTAGCTAACTATTCTCCTTTCTTTGTTTATTTCATGCTAAGCAGATGGCCCAGAAATTAGCCAAAAGCAGAAAGAAGGTGCAGTACAATTTCATCAGCTTGATGTGTTGTCTAGGTTTTGTTATTTCATTTTACTTTTCTGCATTTCTTTTTGTCACATTTTTTTAAAAAACAAACTGTATCCAGCAAATGTTCTTCATTAAATGTTTGAACCACCATGTAAATTGACACATGTCAGATAACAAGTGGCCTAATTTTCTTGTTATTAGCCATTTCATTACCATAATAAGATAATTATTAATGAAATGAAAACATGCTATTGCTAAAAGCACATCCCAAATTTAGAGCAGATGAAATCTTTCTTTCCAAAAAAGACAAGTTATATTTTATTTTATATTTAAATTTGATTTCACTTAATTAATGGATGTAACAAAATTGCTGGATGCAACCAAATGACTTACTTTTCTTATATAAAATTTAAATTCTATAATTATATGCAGTATATAAAAACACATTATAGAAAGTATATTGATGCAAATACAGTTCAGCAGTGGGAAGCAAAATACAATAATTTGATATTCTAGAGCATTGTTTAGGACCAACATTTTCAGCATTTACAATTTTTTTTTCAACAAATAGACGTGTTGTGCCAGTTGAAGTTTTAATGAACTTATTTATTGCTCCTTTAGTTATAAAAAAATAATATCAATATTATTTGGTGATTGGCATGTGATTTTTTTTAAAACCACAGTAATTGGTAGGGCTGGAACCACACAAAATAATGTGATATTTAGCATGCATTGTACATATGTTACAAATAGCTCATTTTAGCATAATAATACTTCTGTTTGTATAGCTGTAGCAAGTTCTACATTGGGATTATATTAATTTTTTCATCAATCCTCAATCAATTTTATTGTAATGGGAGTTGGAAGTGAGATTATTTTACCATTTTTGCAGTTCATGCTTCGACCTGAAACAAAATGTCATGAATATGAATACACATGAAAACCTGTTTTTATGACTGTGCTTTAACTTTGGCGAAAGAGGGGAATGAATACTGAGCATATGGAGGCCATTGGCTCGTTTTTCTTCCCTCTTCTTTTTGGTTAGCCAAAACAGCATAATGCCACCTCTCTTCCTCCCTACCTAACTGTGCCTTGATAGCCGTAATTAAAGAAAGATTGGCTGTTGAACTGATTTAAAAGAATCCAGGGAGAGCCCCTATGCCAGAAAGAGGACAGAGGATAATGTGTTTTCATGTGAAGAAAAAATATTGCACGGACCAGAGTTGGGAGGAAATTAACAATTTTGTCCATCACTCATATTTCATATGATTTCTTCTTATCATTAACTTCACAGTCAAATAGTATATTTTGTAAGATTTATTTTATTTATATATAATCCCATATTTTTAAAAGTATGGCTTCTGAAGTATACACTTCCTAACTAAAAATGATTTCAACTGCAGGTTCCTGAAGGTGAATCTCAGCCCATGACTGAAGTTGATCTTTTCATTTCAACACAGAGAATAAAAGTGCTAAATGCAGACACTCAGGTACAGCAAACTCTCTATAGTCTATTTTACAAGGATTGGAAATAAACTATGGAGCCATTTCTTCTTTATTTCCATTTACTTCTTGCCTTACTATGAAAAAAGCCTAGTTTAGAATTTCTATAAGATGATGAAATAATTAACTGCTTCCAAATTTGTTTACATTAATTAATTACATTTCTTATTTTAAACATAACTTTTGCAATGATTGCTTATTTGAGTGATCAAGAATGCCAACAAGCAACAGTTTCAAGGGGAAACATACAGTCCTAGATTAAACTATTTAAACTTACATATATAGTATCAGTCATAATTCATGTATAAGTGAATTAATAACTAAGTTATTCCTCTTCAAAATAAGGTACAGGTAGTACTCCACTTATGACCATAACTGGGTCCAGAATCTCAGCCATTGAGCAAAGTGGTCATTAAGCAAGATGCCATGTGACCGCTTTGTTTAATTATTTCAATCCTTGCTCTCTTTGGTCAGTTGTTAAGCAACCTTGTGAGTCATTAAATGGACTTCCCAGTTGGTAGGACAGGAAGCCTAAATCCCCATCAGGAAGAACAGTCAAGAGAGTGATGACATTTGCTAGCATTTTCATCAGATGGGAAGATGAGGGTTTTCCCCCGCTCTGGAGGAGAGATCCCTTGCGACGCTGGAGGCCTTTCACTTTTAACCTAGTGAAAACACTAGCAAAGATCATCATCCTGAAAAGCTCAGAACATTGGCATTCACTATCTGGAGAGGAAAATGCCTTCCAGAACAATAGCATTTTTGCCAAATGTAAGGTCTGTTCCTCTAGCATGGAGGATCCCTGCACAGAGCTGAGGGGAAATACCTTAAGGAACAGACCCCAAATCCAACGTCCCTTTCCTGCCCATAGACTTTCTGGAGGAGCCAGCAGAAAAGTTTGCAAATAGTAGCCTTGTGATTCCCAGACACTTGGCAACTGGTTGCCCAGTGTCATGTGAAAGGGGCAGCACAACTTTTATGATGGCTGGAAGTGCTCTATGGGCCATACAGCATCTGTCCTGAGGCTACTGTAACCGCAAATAATCCTCAGACAACTGGTTGTAAGTCAAGGATTACCTGTACAGGTCATGGTCCTGATAAGTACTTTACAAGGGACTCTTGTGATCTGGTAGGCAGGTGGCAACTCTGATTCTTCCCTTGGTTTGTATAGGTGATGAAGATTTCCTTTAATTTGGAAACATGTTGATATGGAATGCCAGTGTTCTAAAATGACTGTGTTAGTGATAAAGAATACTAATGCGAGGGTCTTTTTTTTTTTTTTAAGGAAACAATGATGGATCATCCTTTGAGGACCATTTCCTACATTGCAGATATTGGAAATATAGTTGTGTTGATGGCTCGAAGGCGAATGCCAAGATCAAATTCTCAAGATAATGTGGAGGCCTCTCATCCTTCTCAGGATGGGAAGAGGCAGTACAAAATGATCTGCCATGTTTTTGAGTCTGAAGATGTAAGGAACTTTGTTGTTTCCGTGTTTGAAATTAATACAGACTCCTCTTCCATCAGGTTGTTTGTTGCAGTCAGTAGTAGTGGGGCATGAAAGTATGCATGTGCTGATCCTGATAGAAAGGAACCTATCAGTAAGAAAAAGGTGGTCAGTTTTTCTAGTCTGCTAGTTTCTCCCAGTTTCTCTAGGACCATGGAAATCACAGAGATATGGATAAGTCCTCTTTTCTAAAATGGTTTCCAAATAGAACTTTAATGCCAAGGGGGTTGAACAAACAAGAAGGCTGCTTAGAGCTGAGGAGCACAATGGTAAGGTAAACAAGAGAGATGAATAGATCAAACACATAGAAGGGAAAATCGCTCTGTAAATACAGTTTGTCTGTCTGTTTTAGGGTTGAACTTCTTTCTGTAAAGCTTCACCATATTAGAAGGAAAATCTCAGAGGGTACCGATGAGTGTTTATTGCTTGAGCTTAGTAGACATTCTGAACAATAAAATTATTCCCTCATGCTTGCTATTCCATAAAGTGCTACATCCATGGAATTGTCGAGGCCAATAATTTGAAGCAGCCTTTCAAATTGAGGACCCAAATAACATTTTAAGGTTCATCTACCTCCTTCAGGCTCTTTGTAAGCCTTGGGTTTCACTCACTGTCATGCATTGGGTGGGGTTGAACCCCCTTTTAAAACTTCTCTGCTCCTACTGGATTTCCTTAACTATTTTATTATGTTTTTTTTCTTTTACAATTGCTATAGGCACAATTAATTGCACAGTCCATCGGCCAGGCATTCAGTGTGGCTTACCAGGAGTTCTTAAGGGCAAATGGAATAAATCCTGAAGACCTGAGTCAGAAGGAATATAGTGACCTCCTCAATACCCAAGATATGTACAATGACGATTTGATCCACTTCTCAAAGTCTGAAAACTGCAAAGATGTATGCATCTCTTTATTTGCAATGCTGTTCAGCTAAGAATCCTCTCACCTAATTTTTGCAGCGAATTATAAAGCTTCTGTTAATGAGTGACTTCCTTCAATACCATACAGAATTTTATTTACTTTTAGAGTTTGCAAAAACAGTTATTTTCTCTCTTCCCCTTTCTCCTTTTTTTCATCTTTAAAAATGTTCACACCTTGGATTAACATGGTTTGCAGTGCATTCTGTTGAAGACACAATTTTCTAATGTTTGACATGTTGGACACCACTGTGATGTGGCAATAGGGAAAAAAGCCAGTTATTTTATCAGCAATTTCTCTCCTGTTGATGTAAAATATTTGTAAGAAAAGTTATTTAAAAGTCTACATACAGTTAAAGCTGTTTTTAAATATAACTTTCGAAACACTACATCACGGGTGTCAAACTCCTGATGTCACGTCATCATGTGATGTGTCACAACTTTTTTTTCCCTTTGCTAAACCAGGGGTGGACATGGCCAGCGCGTGACGCATCTGGCCTGCGGGCCACGAGTTTGATACCCCGCACTACATGTAGAAGAATAGGCAGTGTACCTGTAATTTGGAAATATTTATATTCAAGTAAAATCCTAATATATTTACTTGTGTTATTTCCACTCAATGGTTACACACAAAATCACTTTATATACTGTTTATTAAAGTCATTTTTTTAATGTTCACATTGTAGTTGTATGGGTAAGGCAAAAGTGTTGCCAATTGGGGCTATTTTGCAGGATTACTACATTTCATAACAGAAAATTATTTCTGATTTTTGTTCAGGTTTTCATTGAGAAGCAGAAAGGTGAAATTCTGGGCGTAGTGATTGTAGAATCCGGGTGGGGATCCATCTTGCCTACAGTTATCATTGCCAATATGATGCATGGGGGACCAGCAGAGAAATCTGGAAAGCTGAATATTGGAGACCAGATCATGTCTATCAACGGGACTAGTTTAGTTGGCCTACCACTCTCTACATGCCAGAGTATCATAAAGGTACAGAAAATGATTTTGTTTTTTGTTTATTTAAAGCAGGATCCTGACTCTACTTAACCAACAGGAGCCTTTTCTATTTATCAATACTAAAATATAATAAATAACTCAGTATGTAAGAACTGAAGATAATAAAAGTCATTGATAGAAATATTACTAAGTATTCCCTTTATAAGTTAAAGCAATAACCCACAAAGGAAAAAAAAATAAGTGACTGCTACGATAAGATAAAATCAAAATGATGACATATATATTGAAGATTTATCAAGAAGTGCCATCTTTTCATACATACAGTATGACATTCTGCACATGTAAAATGCAGTGTTTGTATCATAAGACCACAACACACATTTCATTACTTGTTCCCTTAGAATACAATAGAATTCTTTATTGGCCAAGTGTGATTGGACACACAAGGTCTTGGTGCAAATGCTCTCAGTATACATAAAAGAAAAGAAACATTCATCAAGAGTCAAGTTCTCCTTGGACCCCTATGAATCTATCATACAAAATGTGAAGAAAATACAATGATGCTTAAGTGTATTTCTAAATGCTTCTGAATGAGAAACCAACCTTGAGATATGGCTGTCATTATCATTACAATCATTACCAGGGTTATTAGAGAGATCATCTCCCATGTTTATATGCCCATCCAATCAGTTCAAATAGGTCAACTTCCTCCATGTCTCCCTAGTCTTTTCTCCAGACCGATACCAGATATCTTTATCCTGTCCTCATAGAGCAATGACCTCAAGATCCTGTAATACCTTTATATTGCTGCCCTCTGAGTGTGTTACAATCCTACAGAAAATGTGTTGCCCAGAATCATACACAGTATTGCACATGTGGTTTTGTAAATGTAAACGTGATTAAGGCTATTACATAGCTTCAATTCAAAACTTCTGATGTGTTAACTTTGCTAGAGCTGCTTCACGCCACTCTTATGTTATGACCACAGTCAAATCGTTTTCCAATATAGTGGTTTCCGAGCACAAAGTTCCCTGTCTTTTATGTGTGGTCTAAGTTTTTCTTTCCTATATGGAAGTAATAACACATTTTTCCCTTACGAAGGGCATCTTTGTCTCTCAGCTCAGTCTTCCAATCTGTCTGGATTAGATTGCAGTCTCATTCTGCATCCTGAATGTTAGCCAGATCTCCAAATTTTATATTATCTGAAAATGGGATATCGACCCATCAATCCAGATCATCAATTAAAATATTGAATAGTATTGGCCCCAAAAGTGGTCCCAATGGTTTCCACTGTTCAGCTCAGTGTAAGGGCATTAATTCATAGGTACTGAGACTAGGTTAAATGGCCAATAATTTTTAGGATCGTCTCCTTTTTTCTTGCGTTTTCTATTCTCCAATTGTCCAAGACTTGTCAATGTTAATTTACAAAAGTCCCAACATCCCTTCAGCTAATTCCTTCAATATTCTGTTATCGCTACACAGCCCAGGGACTTCATAATAGCTTGAAGAGTCTGTACCATAGTCTGATTAATCTGCAGTCCCCCCTGTGTTCATTTCAGAGCACAGGGTTTAACTCATACCTGGGCATTTTGTGGTCAGCAGGCCACACTTGGCTCACAGGCAGTCCCAGTCCAGCCCATGGCGATTGCCACATTGGGTGCGGGGCATCGGGGGCCAGGATGGTATTTGCAGAGGGAAACGTGCGGCATTAGCAGGGCAGGACTTAGGAATCGCAGCGGGTCCAGAGTGGCAGTAGTCTTCCACAACAGCCCCAGTTTCTCAGGTGGCCTCTTGGGAAAATCAATTGCCCACTCTGGTTTAACTGATGCAGATCTTATAATTATTTGTTTTTGTATGCCTTGCTTTATGTTAAGAATAAATTAAATGTAATGCTACCAAAATACTCTTTTAAAACAGGGTTCTCCAACCTTGGCAACTTTAAGACTTATGGACTTCAACTCCCAGAGTTCGTCAGTCAGTTGAAATCCGCAAGTTTTAAAGTTGCCAAGGTTGGAGAACCCTGTTTTAAAGTATACTTGCCATATTAAGGTCCATTGCAGATTTCAAAAGAATAATGTGAAAATCCTGCTTTATTGCATTCCAGGGTTTAAAAACACAAGCCAGGGTGAAACTGAACATAGTGAGATGCCCTCCAGTAACTACTGTACTCATTCGAAGACCAGACCTCAGATATCAACTAGGCTTCAGTGTACAGAATGGCATAGTAAGTAATATTCAATATCATTCCTTGTTTGTAATCCTATTTATTGCGAATATTTTTAAAATGCTTCCTGTTAAAACATTCTCATGTCATGAGAATACTGAGCATGATATCTTATTATTACTATATTTTTATCCAGAGAGAGAGAGAGACAGAGACAGAGAGAGAGACTGGTCCAAACACACTCAGCCAGCTTTCATGCCAGCATTTCAATCCCTGCATCAAATTGGCAATCATACAAGTGCAAATTAATGCTTGGCCTTATTGAAGCATCTGCTATTGTACCTTTTCAATGTTGTTAATTTCTTGTATCTTTCCAGATCTGTAGTCTTATGAGAGGAGGGATTGCAGAACGAGGAGGAGTCCGAGTGGGTCACCGAATTATTGAAATAAATGGACAAAGTGTTGTAGCAACACCTCATGAAAAGATTGTTCATGTTCTCTCAAATGCTGTTGGTGAGGTAAGAGCTGGCATCCATCAGTGCCCCATGAAAGCTTGGCTTGGCTGCATTATTGCTGCCACAAATTAAAATTCTTGTAGGACATTCTTTAATAGAGATAGTAGTATTTTAAATTTTCCTGAGCCTGTTGTATTTTTTATATTGTGTATTTGATGGGTTCAGGATTATACCCCTTTCTTTCAAGCTGTTTAGATCTTATAAGAGTCATAAAATACTGTATATCAGGGGTGTCAAACTCATGTCGTCACGTGACGTATTGGGACTATTTTCCCCTCCGCTAAACTGGACGTGGGCGTGGCCAGCACATGACACATCCAGCCCGTGGGCTGGGAGTTTGATAGTCCTGCTATATATACTCATAGACAAATTTAGAATTTTAGGAACCAAATTGCACCCAGAAAATTAGGTTCAGCTTATCCACAGATGGGCTTATTGGCAAGTATATACCATAATACTTTTTATACATGGATGGATTTACCCGTTACATATGATTATTTTAGCTGAGTGATAAGGGGACCAAATGAAAATTCAGACTAGGAATTTGAACCTATTTAATCTAATATGCCCTTCACCACACCAAAAAGTCTTATCTGGATTACACTCAAACTTAAAGTGAATTACACTAATGCAACTGCCTCCATTTTCTCTTTCAATTGTTTACGAACTAGAAGGGCATGAAAGATGACAGAAAGTTTTTTTTTTTAAAAAAAAATAGATGCATAATTATAGTGGTGCTTAAAAGTGTGTGAACCCTTTTGACACATTTGTTTAATTGGGTTCTCTTTATCTAGTTTTAGAGCTTGTGTGGAGAACAGATCACATTTTAGGTCATGTAGGTGGTCCTTATTTAATCTACTCTTTTAGTGGCTGGTGAAATTTACAATGAGGGTAGTTGAGGCTAGATCTTGTTCTTACAGCTAGAGTCCCCACAGTCACATAATCACAGTTTGACGATCTTCCTTCCAGTTTCCCAGAAACAAACTGAGTGGGGTCTCTGCCAAGAAGTCAGAAGTCACGATCATAACAGAATAACAGCTTCCATTATATAGAAGGAAAAATTATCTCCCTGCCTTTCCCCTATATGTTGCACAGCTATTTTTAGTTATTTTCTCATTTAACTTTACATCCAATGATTTAATAGACTTGACTCCTGAAATGGACATATATCACCATGTATTTCCCATTAAAATGTGAGTTGCTGTTTAATATCCCATTTTAAAATAAATCCATACATTTAGCATTGATCTAAATATTGAATGGAACTTTTATTTATAGGCTTATACTAACGTGTTAGCTAACAGATGATATTGTATATTGTATATTGCTATAATTGAACATACGTATCATCCTCTTTTGAATGGAGAGTACGGAAGCTATTCTACTCCTGACTCCATGCAAATGCCCCAGTTCCTTTGACTCTTTGGGATGAAGCATCAACTGAATAGTTCTTCCTTTCTTCCAGATTCATATGAAGACTATGCCAGCTGCCATGTACAGACTCTTGACTGCACAGGAGCAACCAGTTTACATCTAAAGCTGACTCTTCCAGTGTGCATGGAGGAGGCTCCTTCTCATTAGTGGTGGTGTTTTCTTGGGCTGCATTTTGATGTCTGCAGCAGTCTATCTCTTGCTCTTTTCTTACCTTGGATCATTCCGTTGGGTATCAGATGGCATTTTTGGTTGCACCTTTTTACAACTAGTTTTATGTAACGAAGAATCTCTAATATACACATGCATGCACTTCTTCAAGCTATGTCATTTAGGTTTTGTGGCTCTCATGATAGAAAACACAAGTATCTTAAATAAAAATAAAGTAGAAAGTTCTTTTTACCGAATAAGACAGACTGCAGGGCTAAGTTCTCCACTTATGAAAATAGACAGGATATTGATTGATTTGTCTTATAAAGTTGCTGTGCCAAAGGTAGGAAAGCAACATTATAATTCTACCCTAAGCAAATAATTAAATATGGTTTGAAGGAAACACTGATTTCCTTATGTAATTAAAAATCTATATAATGGAAATCTATTACTAAAAGATGATGTTTAGCTTTTGCTTATAAACCTCCAGACTTAAAGGTGTATTGTCTATGGGAGATACTATTTTACAATTTTTCCCCTTGAGTTCAAAAACTTTCCTCATATTTCTGAAAAGTCATTTATTTCTTGAATATAACATGATTTTTTAAAAAGTGGGTTTTCTAATTCCTGCTTTCTTTCCAAGATAAATTATAAATATCCAGTAAACCAGTATGTGGGTATGAGGAAAATATTTTGCCAGAGAAAATAAGAATATTTTCTTATTTTTCTTATTGTGGTGATACATGGGTTAATAAGCTTTCACATTTTAAGTGTATGCTTGTTATAGGAATTTTAACAAGCCTGCGTACAGTACTACTTTTGTTTGTTCTGAGCCAGTTTTAATTTTAACATATCTTGGTATAAAAATCTTGAATTTATTTATTTTTATGACTTTTCTTTAATTCTGGACCATAATTATGTAAGCAAAAACTTAATTTATTTTGTTATATACATATATATATATATATAAATATACACATATATAAAATAGATGAAAAGTTATTCCTACCCCATGTGAAGCTAAAAAGATTGTGTTTGGTTAATTATTGTAGACACTTGTGAAATGAAAGAATATTGCAAAAAGTTTGGTTATGATAGTTAAAATCAAGGCCAGTAGACTGTAATGTTTGTAGTAAACTATAGAGTGAGAACACAAAAGTTTAGGTCCTGTGGCAGCTTACACAATTATAAATTTAGCACAGTATTTTTGAATAGCGCACATAAATGTTTATTCACAATACATACCTTGATCTTTAAAGTAATCTAAAATTGTTTGCTTTAATATGACACACAGACATGTTTTATCTTTCTGAAAAGTGTTTGGTCTTTGTGTGGGATATAAGAAAGAAAATAGAAAATAGAGTAATAAAGGGGAAAGGTGATAGCCCAGTTTTACATCCAGAGCAACACATGTGTGCCAAGGAGCTGGGTGTATGCATGTTGCATGGATGTGCATTCTGCACACATGTTGCAAAGATATGTAATGATCAGGTCTTTGGGATTCAGTGCCCTGCATGGGTGTTAGATGTAAATGCATGTAGATCCCACCCTTTTCCAGAATTGTAAAAGCATTGGGAAGCTGAGAGTTTGATAGTACAATAGAACAGTGAGTGATTTAATGGAAAATTGTGGCCTCATAGGCATAGTGTTATTCAAGTTCTCTATGCCCCAATCACACACATTGGCAGAGGCAGAGCAACAAGACTGGAGTGTTAATTCCTTTTCTTCAAAAGAATTGTACACTATCACATCATATTGCCTATAGAGTATTACTTCGACGATATACAATAATAAATAAAATTTCATTTCCACCAGTCCAAGTCTGCCATCCAGTCCTATCTATTGTAGTACATTTCAACTCGCTGAAATCAGTGACCAACTCTGCATAAGACTAAGATGCAAATTTGGGGTCAGTGAGCTACTTAATGCTATTGCTTTACTGAAATGAAATGGCTATTATAGCTCAGGTCAACAAACCACATGTGAGATCACTAAATGCTGCATATAAAAGTACAAGATATATATAAAGCTGTAATTTTTTCAAAGCAAAGCAAAATAAAATATGTTACATTCAGCTCTTGGACTTTGGACATTTAAGTAAATTCACCTATTGTATTTATTTAGCTGTGAAAAGAAAATGCATATTTCTGCATTTGTATATATGTACATATATATATACACACATGCACACTATACATATATATTCAGTTGGCCTAAAATTGGATTTTTTTTAATCATTCTGGTTTGCTTTTTCTACATCTAGGGTAAGGTGAATTTTTCACTTTTAAAATAGAGAAATGTATCTGGAGAAATGCAAAGTTGTATGGATTAGAAGAAAAAATGGCATACACTATATAAAGCACAAGTACAAAATGTATTCAATGCGATAATTTGGTAAAATTACCTTGTTGTGGAATAGACATGCCAAGCTGTGAAATCATCAGCTTTCCAATATATATTACAGGTTTGTAATATATATTACAAACATATAATGCATATTATAATACATATATTTATAATATATGTAGACTAGCTTTGTGTGAGACATCCTCCATTCAGAAACAAGCAAGTGGATCTTTTTTGATGGTGACCTGCTTTACAAAATATTCAATTATTTGTAAAGGCTGTCCGCATGTATTATTGTGATCAGCACAGGAACAGGAACATACTGCTCACAACCACGACCGACAACCTGAAAGTTAAAAAGAAATTAACCTTTTTCCATTAAGGAAAGACCATAATTAATTTTCTTCCTGATCCCTACAATCAAGAAAAATGGTCTCTATTCTAAGTTAAAAAGACCCAAATCTTCAACATTGACTCTTAAAATAGGTTTGTTCTGTTTTAGGTATATCCAAGAGCTTTCCTGACAAGACATACTAAGAAAGTAAGATACGAGTAGGATTGATAACGTTTTAAGGAAATGAAACAAATGCTTGTGTAAGCTTCAACATGTCCTTAACTTGAATTCCCATATGTTTTTCTAGGACAACCAGTCCGGTTCAAAAAGTCCAGCATCAGGGCTTTCTTTCTCTTTTCTTTCATTTTGTAATCATCTCCAGAATCTCCAAAGAATATTTTAAGAATAATATGGATCAGAAGTTAAGAATTCACTGAATACATATGTTTTTAATAGTTGATATGGGAAAATTCTCTGTGTGATCAAAGGTACTGTTTATTTTATATCATTTCCAGTCTGCAAAAAAATCCAGGAAAATGTAGCAGCAAACTTTAATTTCAACAGGTTTACAATAAAGTTTAGGTTGCCTCAGATTTACCATTTTTCCTATGTGCATTTGAATAATTTAATTTTAAGGCAAACAGTAAGTTATTTTTTATTTTAGGAATAAAAGAAATGTGTTCAAACGGGGGAAATATTCATGTGCGTATGTGTGTAATTTTTAGACTGCCTGTGAGGGTTAAAAATTGGTGTACCCTTTTACAATAGTTCTGCTACTGAATGGATAAGTTAAGCTGGTTGTAGTCGTTTTTCTCCTGACCTACTCTATTTAATGAAACTGTTTGGAAATAACTTCCCATTTTGAGGTAAGATATACATATGGTCATATAAGTAAACATACAAGAAAGACACTACACACTTCTGTAGGCCTTGACTGGATACTGTACCATTAATTGATTGGAAGTGTTGGGATTTTTTTTGTGCCCCTTTAATTTACCTTAGGCAGCTTACAAGTAAAACTAGATAAAACATTGAACATTAAAAATAAATATTAACATTAAAATTTACTTAAAATTAAAGATGGGAGCAGGATGCACATGGGATGGAGGTGAAGTCTTAGTCCATTAGCCACCTCCTATATAATACGCCACTCCTCCCACAGGGCCTCAGACCAGTTGGCAGAACCAGGTTTTCAAGCCCTTTCTGAAGGCCAAAAAGGTGAGTGCAAATCTCACCTCAGGGAGTACAATGTTCTCCAGAATGTGGGAATCACAACAGAAAAGGCATTTCTGCTAGAGGGAATTCCTTGACCAATGGGGTCTTCAGCTTACCTCTTCTACCAATGCAGGTGACCAATCTCAAACTATGTCTCATGTCATAAAGACCAAGATGCTAACCAATGCCTTGAATTGTACTGGGAAGCAAACTGGAAACCAGTATTACAGCGATACCCCAAGAACTATCTGGCTTCATTCAGCACCAACTATACTTTCCAAATACTCTTCAAGGGTAGCCCCATGTAGCACATTGTAGTAATGAAATGACACATATGTGAAATGACACAGCCTGAGTGACTGAGCACAGGGACTCGCAATCTAGGAAAGTGCAACTAAATACAACACAAAATTGCCACATGATGTCTTCTAGCCACAACTACCACTTGTTCTTTCATCAGGAGTCAGTTCAGGAGAACCTGCAAGTTGTACAGCAGGTCTGAGCCCTGCAGCGCTCCACAAAGGAGCGGCCATGGACTTGAGCTCTCACTCCCTATCAACACCAAATGGGAGTATGGCCAGGAGAAAGGAGCCAAACCAGCGCAAGACTCTGCTACCCAGACCCAGATCGTGCATCTTAACCAAACAGATACCATAGTCAATGTTACTGAAGGCAGCTGAAAAGTCAAGATTATGGATGGATGCCCTACCGTCATCTTGCTTTTGCCAGATATATGTATATTTTTATGGTTTTATTGTTTTAATGTTTTGGTGAGACAGCAGCAAATCAATTTAATAAATGAACATGACATTAGGCATCACTTCACAAGTCATCTAAGAGGCAATTGTGAAATTGGATTTCTCCTCCATCTTTTAAGATCCAGATATGGCACCATGTGATTCCAGCTTTACCCAAAATTGAAGGGACAACTTTGTGGGCAACTTTGATTCAAATAGATGGAAAGGCCCATCAGGACCTGCTTTAAGAGATAAAGTATGGATATTTTGTGACATTTTAAGAAGCTTGTCTATCTTTGGCAGAATGAATTGTAAATAGTGCTCTGCAGAAGTAAATTTTGGCAACCAAAGGGTTAATTTCAAGGATTTTTTTCTGTTTCCTTTATTAAAGTGTTCCTATTTAGTCATGGAAGTCAAGGAATTATCTTTCATTGAACCCTCATCAAAAATTACATTCATGTTTTTTCTGTTAGCAAATTGGAAAACGTAATTATTTTACTGAATCATGCTTCAGATGGAGATATCTAATTCAGATAACAGATAATCAGAGTTGGTAGGGACCTTATAGGTCATATAGTCCAACCCCCACGCCCAAGCGGGAGACCCTACACCATTTCTGACAAATAGAAGTCCAATCTTTTCTTTAAGGTCTCAACTGATGGCACTCCCACAACTTCTGAGGGCAAGCTGTTCCATTGGTTGATTGTTCTGTCAGAAAGTTTCTCCTTATTTCCAGGTTAAATCTCTCCTTGTTCAGTTTCCATCCATTATTCCTTGTCTGGCCTACAGGCGCTTTAGAAAATAGCTTGACCCCTTCCTCCCTGTGGCAGCCCCTCAGATATTGGAAGACTGCTATCATGTCTACCCTGGTCCTTCTCTTCACCAGACTAGCCAAGCCCAGTTCCTGTAACCATTCTTCATATGTTTTAGTCTCCAGTCCCCTAATCATCCTAGTTGCTTCTCTGTACTTTTTCTAGAGTCTCAACATCTTTTTTATTATGTGGTGACCAAACTGGATGCAGTACTCTTAGGTGTGGTCTTACTAAGGCTTTATAGAGTGGTATTAGTACTTCCCTTGATCTTGACTGTATCTCTGTTAATACAACTTAAGATCGCATTAGCTTTTTTGGCGGCGGCTGCACACTGCTGGCTCATATTTTGCTGGTTGTCCACTAAGACTCCAAGATTCCTCACAGTTACTGCTATTGAGCCTGGTTTCACCCAGTCTATATGTGCACTTTTGGTTTTTTTTGCCTAAGTGTAGGACTTTACTTTTCTCTACATTGAATTTCATTTTGTTAGATATGGCCCAGTGTTCTAGTCTTGTCAAGATCCATCTGGATCTTGAGCCTATCTTCTTGGGTGTTAGCTATTCCTGCCAGCTTAGTGTCATCTGCAAATTTGGTAAGTTCCCCTTCTATTCCATCATCTAAGTCCTTAATGAAGATATTGAAGAGTACTGGGCCTAAGACGGAACCTTGTGGCACCCCACTGCTTACTTCCCTCCATGTAGACTTAGACCCATTAAGGACTACTCGTTGAGTACAATTTGGCAGCCACTTGCAAATCCATCTAGCGGTGGTGCTATCTATCCCACTTTTTTCTAGCTTACCAAGAAGTAGGTTGTGGTCTACTTTGTTGAATGCCTTGCTGCAATCTAAATATATTATGTCCACAGTATTCCGCTGGTCTACTAATTTAGTCACTGTTGAAGAATGAACCCACTATGCCACTATATCGGCATGATCTGTTTTTAACAAACCTGTGCTGACTTGCTAGTTATTACTTTACTTGTTTCTAGATGTTGGCAGATCTGTTGTTTTATTATCTTTTCCAGTATCTTCCTGGGTATTGATGTTAGGCTGATTGGTCTATAGTTTCCTGGGTCGTTTTTTTTTTTTTCCTTTTTTGAAGATGGGAACCACACCAGCTTTTTTCTAGTCCTCTGGTAGTTCCCTGATGCTCCAGGATTTTTGAAAGATATAGTGCAGTGGTTCTGAGATGACCTCTGCCAGTTCCTTTAAAACTCTGGGGTGTAATCCACAGGCCCCGGTATTCAATAAACTCAAGAGAGGTCTGAACCACTAATGCAGGCTTTAGCCCAAGGTTATTCAACCTTGGTAATTTTAAGATTTGTGGAGTTCAAGTCCCAGAATTCCCCAGCCAGCATGGCTAGCTGAGGAATTTTGGGAGCCAAAGTCCACAGATCCACACCCCTGCTATAGCCTATTAGTGACACTTCGGGAAAAAATGGAATAATTCATGTCAATGTCAAGAAAAAGAAAACCAGAACATGTTTATTTCATTTATAATTTTAATCAAAATTAAATACAGTTTATTAATTTTCTGAATTAAGACAAATAATTTGAGGAAAAAAGAGTTGGACTATCAGAATTTCAGCAATCTGAAAGTAAAAACCTGAAAATTTGTAGCAATGGATCCTACCGGTATCACCAGTTTCTTCCATTACAGACAAGTGTTTTAAAATGTACAGAATGTATTTTAAGTTTCAGCAAAGATTTAGGGAGAGAGAAAAACCTCTCTTTTCTCATCTGGATTCTTACTAATGATTTAAGCCGAATTATGAAAAGAAAAAAAGCTAGAAATAATTTATAATCTGTGTGTTTTAAACAGAAAAAAAATCATTCCCATAAAACATTTAGAAAGCAATGCACACTTCAAAAATGATTCACAAGAAGTGCTTCAGTCTTTCCAAAGCCCAGCATTTTTGAATAGTCATTAATGCAATCTAGTTTTTTTTCCAGGCTTCTACATGATCCCCAAAAAGGAGGCCACCTCTTTAATGGACTGATGATTATGAGTTAACTTTTAAAATCAATGGCATTTTATTTTCAGGATGTATAAATAAGTAGCATCTGTACTGTTTCCTCACTTTCTTCCAGTCTGAAGCTCTTGAATAATTTCTGAAGCATGCACAGCCCTCTGCATTGAACAAGATTGCTCATTCTCCCATCATCATTTTAGTAATAAAGCTGTCCTGGAAAAATGTATCATTGCTCTGAATTTTATTAATCCATGTTTTCAAGATTATTGAGTAGTTTATGGGCTGGGAGCAGCAGCAGAACACCTGAACGACCTACTGCTTTTAAGCACTTTTGCACCTGAAGTGATAAAAAATGAAAGCTGAAGGTTCATGCAGCACTTTTAAGCACAGTAAAGTGATAGCTCTGTTCACCCCACAAGTCAAACTCATTTTAAAAGCTTCTTCATACTTTTTTTAAAAAAATTATGATAATGTGTAGTGCATTATTAAAAAGGAAAGGGATGAATGAGAATACATACTTCAATTCCATATACTGTAAATATATCACTATCTTATATTCCCTTTCAGATATAAAACATTAAAATGTAACCCACACATACCAGGGACAACAATCAAAGTTTATGTAGAAACAATGATTTGTTTTGATAAAGAAGACTCCTTCTTTACAGAGCTGATCCTCATATATCCTAACTCCACCTGAATATCCTTTTTTTCTGATTCAGAGCTATATTTATAATGCACCGTGGTTTTCTTTGAAGTAATTTACTCCAACTTTTTCCTCAAATGCTCTTTCGAAAGCAGCAATACAGTAAATGAGAAGCATAGATTAAGGATCCCTCTATCCAACTGCTTCCCTGCTCTGGTCTTTGCACTCCACGAGGGACCAAAAAGCAACCGATCTCAGAGTACTGTTTCTCGGACGACTCCAATGAGGCTGTGAGGTCGCTCTGACTCCATCCGCTGCGTCTTCCTGTCTAGCCTCCGGGTTCCGGCTGTAGTAAAAGTACTTACATCTCCACAGCTCTCCAAGTGTAAAAGTCCCGGGTGCCTCCTGAAAGGCAGTGTGTGTGCTCCTGTTATGGCTGCGTGAGCAGGAGTCATGACCTTTGGAAAGAAAGAACATTTACACTGTCAACTGCCGTATCTATTTTTATCAGAAATGTGAGGATAAAGAGTACGTTAGCTGCCTTAAAATGTAATTTTAAAAGCAGACTGGGCATGCTGCAGATCCCCTCAGCCAAAGTGTGTCGACTTCTGGGGATCAGAAGAGGGGCGTTTTTTCCACAGTGGCCACTGCTCCATGGGATGTTCTCCCATTGGAGATTAGAATGGCCCCAACCGTATTGGCGTTTTGCAAGGCTTTAAAAATGCCCCTTGTACTTGGGCCTGGGGCTCCAAATGTGTTAAGGAATCCGTTTATTGACTTTAACTGTTAATTGATTAACTGTTTCAGCTGCTGTATGTATTTATTGTTTAGATGTTTTTTATTGTTTTAGAACTGTAAGCCATCCAGTGTCACTTGGCTGAGGTGGGAAGCTATAGAAATTGAATAAAGTAAATAAATAAATTTTAAAAAACTGACTTCATATAATACCTGGCTATTTCATTGAACACCTAGGTGTAGAATCCTTTAGCTATCAGGACATGTTTTTAATATTCTTAAGCCCATTTTTCCTTTTGATCAGTAATTAAGCCTAGAAAGACTTCAGCCATAAGTGGAACTATGCAAAAAGTATGGATATGATACAAATAAATATTGCTCCAACTGCAGAGGGTTTTGTGTGCAAATGAATATGAGTGTGTTTTAGTATCACCAGTAATTTTCTTCACTTGTTTAGTTTCTTCTCATCTCTCTCTCTCTCTCTCTCTCTCTCTCTCTCTCTCTCTCTCTCAAGTTTTCGCGGGTATCTATATGTATGGTATTCAGCTTTGTTCAGGTATTTTCCCATGTCATTATAGTTGTGCTTTTAAAGTTGTAGTGACGTTTCGGCAGAATCTCATCTGCCATCATCACAATACGCAAGCCTGATGATGGCAGATGAGATTCTGCCGAAACATCGCTACAACTTTAAAAGCACAACTATAATGACGTGGGAAAATACCCGAACAAAGCTGAATACCATATATATATATGGATTTCCAGAATTGTCAGTTTAAGAGGGATGATATAATTCTGCAAGGACAAACTCCCTATTTTTTCTACTTTGTCAGCTGGAGATTTCTATCCTTATCCATTTTCTACAGACAAGTATACCCAGCATTGCAAATGGATGACCTGACCAGCTAAACTTGGGGAGAGCTTCAGCCACAAGTATTACCTCTCCCTTTAACTTACTAAGTAAACAAAATCATATTTCACCCTTAAGAACTGCAATATAACTGGATAGTGCAACTATAGGATAAGATCACATTTATTCCTTAAATAAGTACTATAGGCGTCTAATTTGGAGAGAAGGAAAAAAAATCAACCCAGAAGTGATAAGTGATTAAATAAGGACAAAAGATCCACCATCTTAGGATGCCCTTCTTCACTAACCTGGTTCACAAAAATTGAATCATTAACTCAAAGAACAAACGTGTAACTAAACCAAAGAACAAACCAGATTGTTTGCTAGGATGAAAGATGATTTTGTCTTCTCCCAAGAGAAAAAAGCTAACACCAGACAGCAACGTATACGGAGTCTCACTATGAGCTGGCCTTTCCTTCCCCAAGCAGAGCTGCAACTGTTTAGGAGTTTGTATTTTACCTGCTCGAGGAAACTGGCACTGGTGATGGCTTCCTCCATGTGCTCTTCATCTGATTTTAAGACAGATTTGATGTCTTCTACTAGTTCATGTATGTCAGGCGTCATGTTGCAGGAGGACTGCTCCAAGAATTTGGCTACCAGAAGCTTAGTATCTATATATGATTTATAGTCTATTAAAGACTGAGGCCTTGAACGTGCAGCCTTTGCTCTCAGAGTTTTTCGTAAAATGACAGTAGCCAGTTGTGGTTTTCGGTCTGTTTGAGTAGCAGCTTCGCAACTTAGCACTAGACCTGGAGACAAAATAAAACAAAATAAAAATCCCAATGGATGTGCCCTAGTAGTTTATACATCAGCAGAGACAGCTATAGACAAATACAAGTCTATAGTAAAACCACCCACACCAGCCAAGTGCTCCACTACCAAAGTAACAATGCATCCTCCCACAAGAGGTGTAAAACACTATTTAGATGAGCACAAACTCATTGCAGCAACCTGAAGTTCAGAAAAAGAAACAGATGAACTATACAATATCTTCCAACAAAACGGATACCCACGTAACTTCATGAAAAGTGCCTGAACGTTCAACTTAATATAGCACAACCAAGACTAGCTGGTAACACTGCCATACATCAAAAACATCTCAGAAATCACCAACAACAACCATATGACATCAACGTGGCACACAAATCAACTAAATCCCTCTAAAACAGTGGTCACCATTTGGTGGGCCGTGGACCACTCGTGGTCTGTGAGAAAATTTTGGTGGTCCACAGAGAAATGTCCCCCCCAAAGCAATTAATCCAGGCTGCACAGGAACACAAGGCTGCACTGCCCACGTGGCCTGCCCACCCGCTGGCCCCCAACCTTTGGCCAAGTGCAAACCTTACCTTGAGATTTTGAAATCGTCTCTCCTTGAGGAGCGCTCGCAGAGTGGGAAACTTCGGCCAAGCTCTCGAGAGACGAGAGTGACTGCAGCTGTTTCCCTCCGCGAGCGCTCCTCGATAGACCATTTTGCAGATAGTTTGGCCAAACTTCTGTCCCTGGGAGTCAAAGCGCTGAAGCGTGAGTGGTGCGAGAAACTTTGGCCAGGCTCTTTGAGTGAAGGCAGAATGCTGATGCCATGCAAATGCAAATAGTGCAGCACTCACACACCTTCCAGCTATCTCCATCGCTGCTTTGGCCTGTCTGTGCCACCGTCCCCCCCTCTTGCTGCAACAGCATCATTACCTTGTCCTGGCCGGTGAGGGCTGCGCTTTTTGCACACTGCACACCTTCAAATTTGCACATTACATGTGCCACCCCCTACAGCGGAGTTTTCCAACCCCACCACAGGGCGGTCCCATATTCCAGAGTTGCAGTAGTCACAAGACTGGCCCTTTGGTCATTCTGGAGCAGCTCATCCATGGCAAGCCAGTGTACAGGCCAGTCCTATGACTACTGCAGCTCTGGAATATGGGACCGACTTTCCCACCAACGTCAGCAAACCACAGTCAGTCCAAAGTCATATTAGTGATCCGCGGGATTTAAAGTTATGAGTTTGGTGGTCCCTGAGGTCTAGAAGGTGGGCGACTCCTGCTCTAAAACATCTTAAGTAAACCAAAAGATTCAGCAATCCCAGAAGAAAAACAGGAGTCATAGATAATATTCAGGGCAAGAACTCCAAGCAGCCACTTTGTGGGACAAACAGGCAGAAGACTAGCATCCATGAACACCACCTAGGAATCGGGAAACATGATGAAAACTCCTTAATTTCACAACACAAAGACACACTTAACCATAGTTTCTACAGGAAAACTGTGACCATCATAGACAAAACCAAGTCCATAAAAAACCAGACAATTCCTGGAAATTTGGCACTCTACTAAACTGGCCATCAACAGGCACATAGGCATAAACAGTATCTACATCCCATTCAAAAGAGACAATCAACAAGCCAAAAAGTAAACAAAAAAGACATAACCACCACCTCATCAGCAATCAACATGCTGATAACCAGAGATTAACACCAAGATTAACATTAAACTAATAATCAGGAAGCAAACAATACCCCAATCAAGAAACTATCAAAAAAGCAACAGTAAACATAACACCAAGACCACTCCCACATTGGATAGGGCAATTCTGTCTGTCTAAGACTCTACCCTCAATAGTGTACAGAGGATTATTTTTTCCCAAGTGCATAATCTTACATTTAGGAACACCGAATTGCAGTTTCCACATTTCTGATCAATTTTCCAGCAAAGCCAAATTGTTTTCTCTATTGCAAATACTCCCAAGAACGTCAACTTATTACACACTTTTGTGACATCAGCAAAAAGATAAATATTACCTAGCAATCCTTCTGTTGTATCACTTATAAACACACTGAATAGAACAGGACCTAAAACAGAGCCTTGTGGCGTACCACTTTTGATTGGTCTCTGTTCAAACAGTGCCCGATTAACAATCACACACTAGGATCTATCCCCGAGCCAACTTTCCAACCACTGAACCACCCAGTGGTTAAGTCTTTGCCTATACAACTTTTAAAGGAACTCATTATTTGGAACTCTGTCAAGTGATTTGCTAAAATCCAGATAGGCTTTGATCACAGCACCTTCATCCAAAACATTTGTGATATAGTTTAAAAACTTAATAATTTGAGATATACTGATTGTTAAAATGATTCATTTTAAATGCTGACTTATTTAGTACTTAAATAACATTTCAAATTATATTTCCAATAGGCCGATTTTATTATCTTTCTGATATTTTAAAGGTTAATGTTGTAACATTGGTAAATACTTTTACCTATGTTCTGTTTGTGTGTGCATGTGTGTGTAGGGGGGGGCATTGTACCTCTAAAGGCAATACCTTTGAGGGGGGGAAAGAGAGGGATAAGAATTCACATTCATATTGGTGCAAAGTGATCCACACTCAAATGATGTATTGCAACTACCCATTCCCTTTCCTAAAAAGCTTCTTTATTGTTCTTTGCCTTGTTAGCAGGATTATTGTAAGAAACCTGTCTATCCATGGCTCTGTAAAGGCTGCTGAATAGCAATATTCAGTGAAGGATCCTTTTAGCATGAGAATGAGGTAGGCATAGAAAACAGCCCTCCAGCACCACTGATCTGCAAATTCAAAGCCTCTACAAAACTAAGCCTCAGTTCTGATGGCTGCAGCCAAACCCTCCCGTCGTCTGCAGCCGTCTGCAGCCTTGGAAGAATTGGTGGGTGGGGGCTGGTGTGCAAATGCAACTCCTGCTCTTCTGGCTGAGGTGAGGGTCTCACTGGGCCTTATGGCCCTGATTCTAACAAGACCACCATCATTTTTCATTGAACAATTTATAGCTCCAAGGCAACAATACCATTTGAGATGGAACCATCTTAATGCCAATAAATCTTCATTTTGTGGTCTCAGAAAAAAAAGAGATAAAAAACATTTTCTGGAAAGGGGAGAAGAATCAGGTCACCTCTGGATGGAAAACCATGAAGAACAGGATCACTTTTTGATCGTTTTTTGAATAGCTGAGAAGTCCCCACAGGTACTAAGCTGGCATCTGGAGACAAGGTGGTCTCTCTACTCGAAGAATTAAGAGAATTTTCATCACCTGCAATGAAGAAAGACCAAATCAAGAAATTCATTTAGCATGAACTCATATGTGCTCTCTCTCTTTCTACACACCCACATCTACATGCACGCATGCGTACAAACACACACACACACACACCAGGGAGAGAAAAAAATTCCGGAAACATAATTCTTTTAATCAGATTTCTACAGTCATTTAAAGTTAAACAATGGTTACCAAGCAATGCTTATAAAGCTTTCCATTACAATAAAGATTTCTGTTAATCATGATAATACAATTATAAAAGGGAATATGCAGTCATTATTGAAAGTATTGCCAATGTGACAAGTGTCTAACAGAGGTATCACATCTGGCAAACTATGTTTCAGTGATCAAAGAAAGCAAATATAAATCTTAAAAAGCTGGACTTGTTATTTTAACATCATGTTCACAAGCGGATGTAAACTTGGGTATGCAGTATTATAGAAACATGGACATAAAAAGACATGCTTTGCTCTAATCACCTGAGAATCATCAATGTTATCACAAATAGCTTGCAGAAATGAAAAACTCCTATTGTCCTCAGAATATATAAAAAGTAATATTCCCAAATTTTATGACAAACCATTTCTATGTTGTTGGCAAATAAAAAAACAAGGACATGGATCTGGGGCAGGCCACATGAGATTTAAAATAATTAATACAGGGGAGTTGCTTTTTTAATAGGGAATGGTGCCAAAGCTCTTTTTAGAAGTATCTTGTTTCAAAGTAAAGGGAATATAAATTCCTAATTTTCAGGTGGGTCATTAATACTTGGATACTGAAAGAGGGCTCACTGGTCTCTCAAATTTTGATCCAAATGAAATAATCATATTTGTGTTCTAATATAATTTTCACACAGTAAAACTGGTTGTAACAAGGTTTATCCTAGAGAACAAATCTTGATAAAGGAAGAATAAAGAAGGTGAACAAATCAATAAAGAATGGTAAGAATTAGTGGTACAATGATTCAAAACATCATGTCGAACTCAAAACAATGTTTTCCATTTATCCATCAAATCACTAGGTTCAGAATCAGCCATTCACACAGGGGATAGAACATAACTCTCCTGCCTTAGCTTTACAGATCTAAACAAAGCTGTTGGAAAATTACTGTTGGCAATTTCTCCCGAGTACCCACCTAGCCGTTCCCTTCATCTAAATAAGAGCGGTGCATACAACATTCAGTTCAATGATATAAAAAAAAAACATAGCTTGATATTTTGGGAATTCAAGGATCCCTCACTGAGAGAATCTAATAAGAATTGTATTATATTCTGCCAGGTGAGGCCTAACTGGATCCAAAGATTATTTTATTCTGGCAGTCTTTTCATTTAACAATAATTCTCTCACATTTTAAAACACACGTTGAACTTATTAATATTATTTATTCTATACTTTTTAAAATTGTAAACGGTGAGAACTTGCCCTAGAAGACAAAATATAAATAAAATTATTTTCTTGGTCTACCCTAGACACGTGTATTTTCAAAACCAATAGCTTGACAACTCACTCCATCAATACAAGGTCATAAAAAGGTGCTAAGTATGTGTTAAGTTTCTTCACTTTAGTTTTTAATCTAATCCAAGGTCTCTATATTTTGCTTATTCACATTTCTAAAACGACAGGGGACTTCGAACAAATAATTAAAATATTTTTAAATTCACATTAACAGCACCATTTCTTTTTGTCTGACAAACATGAAACTGAAAGCATTGTAGACAAAAAGAAAATGTGAAATTTATTCCTCAAATAATGACACTGACATGAAATAGGCTTTAGAACGAATAAGGTTTTAGTTCTGTTCAGTTGCTTCCAAAATCCAACAGTAAGACATACTCATTTCATTAGCAATGGTGGAGATAAAGCCTTGGTATTACAAAAGAGTTACTTCAAGGACTTTACAAGGCTGAAGTGCTCCAATGCTATTTTTCCTTGTTTTCTTTCCTGGTGTCAAATTTGTGCTATTAATTCTTCTGTGCAAAGTTTGTCCTGTTTGTCCTATGAAAAATTCAGTGGAGCATTTTCAACTCCATCAGCAAGGGAAAGGATGCTGAACTCACCTACGTCAAAGGTGCAGGCAATCTCAGAAGGACAGAACAAATACAATGACGGGTTTTTAACACATTCCAATGAAGTACTGGCAATCTGTCTTATGTGCACGCTGCCTCTACTTAACTGACCTCCATTCTCCCTCTTCCCCCTAGCCCTAGTTTAAATCCTTATTCTATGCATCTGAGGAAATGAGCTGCAGGTTTTTTAATATAAACAAACTCCTTCTGACCTTTTTCTACCATAGACTAACATGGTTCTCCTCCTACAATGTTTAAGTGAAAGAAAGAGAAAGGCTGTTTCAGTGTGATCAATTTTAAGAGCAAATGGTTGTTATATACAGTAAATTAGTTTAAATAAGAAAACAATCATTACTGCATTTCTTGTAATTCATTGTGAACCCTTAGCGTAATACTCCCAAAAGCACTTTTTTTACCTTGTGGTACCTGTATGTCATTTTGTTCAGGTGGGTCATTTACAACTTCTGCAACAGCTGTATTGGATGCATCTTCCTAAATATAAAAATAACGGAGTTATCTTCTAAGTAAATTAATCGGAACTAGAAATACATTCCTGATTTTAGAGAATTTAAATTTAATGTAATTTAAATGTAAAAATTAAACAGAATTACAAAGAAACACCACCAAATCACAAATGTTCTCCAGGATTAAGGATCTCCCCTTTTTACTAAACATTCTGATCATTCTGATTTATTTTATGTGTGGTGACAATCTTATTAACTAGTCTATGACTGAATAAAAAATGATTGACTGATTGAATCAATTGAAATTTCCAAATTGTTTTTAAAAAGAAATCCATGTACTGTAGTAACCCAACTTTAAGATCACTAAAGAATATGTAAATGATGCCAGGCTGTTTCTGATGCATCTGGTATCAAGATGATTCTGGTTGCTGAAACTACTTTATCTTTCAGACAAAGTGTAGAAAGACAGAAAGGAAGAGATCCATTGTTTAACATATTCCAATTCTGACAGCTGAGAATAGATAGCATGGTTAATACCACTAAAGGGTTCTGAGGGGTTCAAGAGAAGAAATTATTTCCACTTCTGGTTCTACCTTACAATCTAATTTGCAAAGTCAGCAACTAATGCCATATTCTTAAAGACAAATATACAGCTGGATTGAAAAGGATCTGAAAATATGACAGTTATTGTCCTGTCGTTCAAAGCATTCCCCTTTATTAGGTGTAAAAAGTCAAGCATAAAAAATATTTTTAAGTTGTCCAGGAAATTTTTCTGCATTCTCAGATAAAACAAAGTACATCTACAGTTATTGTACAAGACAATATGATCGACATCTGTTAAACAGCCCACCCTCCTGACTCTTCCCAAGAGCCTTAAGACCAGGCTCTGCCCGATGGTTTGGGAACCCAATGGTGGAGCCTCACACTAGAGTGGTTGACTAATTTAAACCTTATCCCATCCCCGTCCCTGTGGTCCAGCTCCGTCCGTCCATCATCTTGTGTGTAGTGATTTTATCTGTTTTGCTCTCTTATAGCTGGTAATTGTAGTTTTTCTACTGTAAGCCATTCAGAATCACCCAGGCGATGGGCAGCAAATAAATTTCTAGATAGATGATAGATACACTATCATCTATATCTATCTATCTATCTATCTATCTATCTATCTATCTATCTATTATCCACAGAGTCCAAGTCATACCAAATGAACGTGGCTTTTATCCTCAAACAGCCTTGCAAATGTGTCACAAGTTGTTGTTGAAGAAACAGCTAATTTCCTTAAAGATCAAAGGTGAATCCCTGGATGTTAGTGAGGAGATTCACAGAGGTGGAAAAGAACTCTGACTTTATTATTCCTATAAAATAATTCCAAAAGTCACTCATATAAATCAAGATTCAGCATGAAACTTCCCCTATTTATTTTTCATTACCTTTAGCTGAGTGATATACCAAGAAGCTCATGTAATGGGAGGGTGAGAGACTTAAACCCAACTATACAATGGCCTTAGTCACTTTTTTATTCCACGGGGTGACTGTGGGTTATGTGAGATTACATGCCAACTGGGGGGGAGGGGGGGAACGGGACTCAGAGACATATGAAAAAGTTTAGCAGTCATTAATTTCTGAATTCCAAAATTCTTATAGACTTGCAGAAGGACCATAAATTAGTAAGATGGAAAATTAAGTGCATTCCCGTTTAAAAGTTTGTTTTCCTCCTGTTTTTTACAGATATTTAAAACTCTAGAATGTTTATGAGGGTTTAAAAGCAGAAATGATCTGAGATTTGATATTATAATTACTTGTTAAAACTGAGAATTTTTGAGATATAAAAACATGCACTGAGTAGAATAATTTAGCCTACAATTTTAGAGCTTCAGATAACCATCAAATAAGTTTAAAACAGAATAATCTTCTAGGAGTAATTTTTAAACATTCACAGTTCTGAAATACAGAGTTGGTCAATACATTAATTAGAACAAACAAGAATGCAAAAAAACAAGTGGACCTTGACTTACAGCAGTTCATTTAGTGATCATTCAAAGTTACACCACTGAAAAAAGTATTTTTTCACACTTATGATCATTACAAGCATTCCCATAGTCGTGTGATAAAAATTCAGATGCTTGGCAATTGATTCACATTTATTGCCGTGTCCCGAGGTCACGCAATCACCTTTTGCGACCTTCTGATAAGCAAAGTCCATGGGGAAGCCAGATTCACTTAACAACCATGTTACAAATTTATCAAGTAGAGTGATTCACTGGCAAGGTAGGTTGTAAAATGGAGCAAAACTCACTTAACAAATGTTTTGCTTAGCAACAGAAATTTTGGGCTCAATTGTGGTTGTAAATCGAAGACTACCTGGGTGTATACTTTTTCTTCAGAAGTAACATTTAATATTATATGATACAAAAAAGAAGGAACCGAGAAAGCAAGTAAGTCCCAAGCCTGGATCGAGTATAAAATATTTGTTTGTTTCAACAGCTTCCATTTCCACTATATGTGGCATTACTCAGTGACAGAAAAGTGGCACATTTGACCATCTGAAGGATGTGACAATGTACCACAGATTCCTGTGAAAACACGTTAATCTGGAAGAATACCCTGGACAATATACCTGCTCATGTCTTATCTGGCTCATCACAGCTTCGTAAGGAGGTGGGGGATCAAGAGGGCAGAAAACTTCAACGCCTTTAATTCGGGCTCCATAAATGTGTGGTAATGGAATGACATCAGAACCCAGCATCCTAAGAAAGAAAGTTTGCATCCACTTAAAAATGCCCATAACATTTTAATGGCATACACTCCAAAAGTCAGCATAATGGAATTCAATCTTTGGTAGAAAAACAACAATATAGAGAACAGGTTTTTTTAAAGTGTATTCACAAGAATTTAAACAGGGATTATTTTCCGTGGGGAAAAAAAGGAAGGGCCTAAAACATTTTAAGTATGGAATCCAGTTAAAATATTAAATATCCAAATATTAAATACTTGTCAGGTGCAAAAAAATAGGTTCTCGTGTTCAGGTACAATTTAACTGATTTATTGCTAAAAGCAATAAATGCACAGGAATCTTCTTAACTAATGGTCAGTCCTTGCTTAGAATTAGATATGTCAATGGCAATCAAGGGGAGGGGTTGGATTTAGTTCATTTATGGCTACACAGTGATTCTAGGCTGATCCCTCTTTTTATCCCTCCCCCAACTCTGGCAGTCCTTCTCCTACAATACTCTTTGCAGACCCTGTTGTGCTCGTACAATCTGCAGAAGAACTGCAGACAGCTGGCCTTGGTGAGAGGCTGAGTATGGAGGTTCATGGCCCAGAGGTTAGGACTGCGAGCAATGTTCCACAGCAAGGATCCTTCTGAATCTACAGTGTCCATCAAGACAAGCAGAGGCAAAGACAGAAATCAAGATATGCAGGAAGTATTTATGCAAGGAATTAGAACAGCCATCTTTTTTCTGTAACAACTATAATTAAAGACAGGATGACAAGTTATGAACAATTAGTTTTCTTCCCCAGCAGAGACGAAGACAATTGTAGCTATTACCCTTCTGTACATCATACCCATCTTCTGAAGGGGGAAGAAAAAAACCAAATCCTTTAAAGCAGGGGTCGCCAACCTTTTGGACCTCAGGGACCACCAAACTCATAATTTTAGACCCCAGGGACCTGGCTGGGCATGGCTTGTATGTAAATATTATAAATATTTATAGAAATACTGAATTTTTTATAAAAAAGAGCAACTTTTACCCAAAATTGGGCAAAGCAGGCAGATTGAGTTGCTCACAGAATCACAGATTCATATCTATCTGCCATTGGCTAGCTCAGTCTGTCACATAAAATTTGCTTGCAAGCAAACTCACAAAATTAACTCACAACACACCATGCATGTAAATATTGAATTTTTTTATAAAAAAGAGCAACTTTTACCCAAAATCAGGCAAAGCAGGCAGATTGAGTTGCTCATAGAATCATTCAGTGATCTGCCATCGGCTAACTCAGTCTCTCAAATTTGCTTGCCGTGAGTCTGCACTGAATTTGCTTGCAAGCAAATCTTCAGTCCTAAGGGAGGCTCGGCTGTGCTGAGCTGAAGATCTAAAGACTAGCTAGAAAGCAAGAAATCCAACCATTTCCTGCTTCCTAGCTAATCTAAATCTCCCGGCACAGCAGATGTTGCTCGAAAAAAGGAAAAATAGCAACTTAGCAGGCAAGTTTACCGGGTAAGGAGTGAATGGGTGGGGAGGGTTCCCGCTGGCCATGTGGGCGGCGCAGCCTTGTGTTTCTGCGCAGCCTGGATTAATTGCTTTGTGGGGGTGCTCTGGGGGTGAGATTTCTCTGCGGCCCACCAAAATATTCTCACAGCCCACTAGTTGGCGGCCGCTGCTTTAAAGGATTGTAAGCTGTTTCTGCATGCTCCAAATTAGTCAGAAAAGGATTGTGCTTGTTTATAGCTCTCTCACTAAATTAGGATTCTTGGTTAGCCAGTTCTCACTATTTGATGAGAGAGAAGTATAGGTACATGATATTTGTTACACAAATGTTAAATATATGATTGCCAAGAGACAACATAGATAGCAAGGATCTTCCTTTTATCTTTCCTGCACATGCACTGAATGCATGAGGGGATTCATCTAAATATCCTTTATCTAACTGTTCCATGTGTTCAGCTAATTGAAGATAAGACATTTTAGCCACCTCTGCCATTGTTCCAATCATTAGCACATTAGAATAAAAAATCCAGCACTGCAGCAATCAATGCTTTATTTCCAAATAGGCATTCTAAAGGTCAACCTCTCAACCAGTTTGCTCAAGTCTCTTCTATATTCTTCGATTTGCATCTTTCTACTACTGACTCCTCTGATATATAGTGGACTAATGCTATTCGTGCTAAGTAAGTTACATGGTCTTGGGTTTATAAGGCAAATCACATATGCCACAAGGCTTAGGATTGTTATTGGTTTAACCTCTGTGATGTCATTGGGTTCCAAAAGACCTTGAACCAGATGACTGCTCAGAGTAAAAGAAGCATTGTTTTGTAGTATGAGATCCATAGGCAAATATGTAACCGTAATTGCACATGGCAAAATTATGCAGTTTCAATCTAAAGACATACACATTTTGTTTTTCCTCTTCATTCTTCGCATTGAAGCTCTTAAGCAAATTACAGTTAATTTTAAAATTACTTCATTGGTATTTTTATTACTATTATGACAATGAAATGAAAAGTAGCAGTGAAATGCTCTGCATATAAAAAATAAAAATGTTGTACAGAGCTTGCTTACTTCAGTGTCTGACAAGAACCAAATCTCTAACAATGTTCTTGAGGAAAATTGATTCTGCCTGTAATCTTAAAGATTTAAGATAGGATTAGGAACCTGCAACTTCAGGACCCAATACACTCTACTGCTACCTTCACAATTTATGCAATAGTTCCTCAATTGCCAAAAAATATGCAAAAAGAAAAAAAAATGAAAAATCCCCATCTTATCCACTTTTAGGACATTAATTTAGTTAGTTGCTCAACTCAAAATAACCTTTGGCAGCATATAATATTAAAAACAAATAAAAACCAGCAATTAACAGAAAATAAAAGTGACACAGAAAACCTAGCATACCCCCCCCCCTTTACTGTGACTCTTAAGGACCTTAAGTATCCAAGTTATTCCAAATCCTGGGAGAAAAATAAGATTTTAAGGTCAAAGTAGGGCTATGGAAATCACAAAGAGAATTGTGCCAGAGAAGGTATATTTTCAGATGACATTTATTCATGAGTAGGCTAACCCTGTCAGATCAAAAAGGATGGGCAGTCACCTTGACAGAGAGATTCCTTCAAGCAGCTAGGTGCTATGCCATAAAGGTTTTAAAAATGATAACCGGAACCTCAAATTGTAGCTGAAAGTATACTGATGAGTGCAGCTCACTATTTTTTGACCACAGTCCTTGTTGAAATCTATAAAGTGAGGTCCTTGGCTACAAAAAAGTTATCCACTCCTGGTTAAACCTATTCAAAAAGCTGAAATTCATGACATTCAAAGAAATGTCTTCTGACAAGCTACCGGTCCGTGTCCAGGAGAAGTGAAACAGGTGGCACTGAGGGAATCTGTAGGCAGGATGGTGGTGTCACAGGGTTAATTTGGAATGACAGTGTGTTAGGAAACGTTATTTGGAGATCAAGCGCCTATGTAAACAAGATGGCAGCAAGAGAGCAAGAGTGGGCAGTTGTTAAATGAAGCGATTTCACTTAACAACTGTCACTACTTTTGGTTTTAAAGGTCCATTAGGGTCGTAAATTGAGGATTACCTGTAAGAAGGTTTGGATTAAATCAGTTGTCAAATCTCAGAATGCCAAGAGCGATTACTTTACCTGCGACTGCCTCGTGGTGTCGAAGAATAGAAGGTATCAAAATATGATGGAGGTGGGGCTGGTGGCACAAAATCGTCAGGATCAGAAGAAGCCTGGCCATCTTCTTCAACTTCCTCTGTATAAACTTGCAATTCTTCCTATCAAGATAAAATTCTGTAAAACACTCTTATAGCAAGAACAGAAGACTAACTTCTTTCCATACCTATTTTTTTAAAATGAAACTGTTTTCTACACTCACTTACTCTGCAGGATCTTCTAGTTGCAAATATCTGCAGGTAACGTAGGGCAGCAGCCACCAAACAAACAGTGGTTGTCAAGGCATTCAGAGTACAGAGAGCAAAGAGAACTTTCTGAAGGACAAAAAAATCGAAAAGAATAGCTGCAGTTGTGATTCACCAAACATATGTTTAAAAGTACATGCATTAATTCTTTTTACTTCCAAGAACAAAATTCAATTAACTTTTAAGCAGATGCCCTTTCTTCACCTGAAAACTATGCTATATGCAAATTTGACAATCGTGGTATAAAAAGTCATGGTGTATCATACTAGCAACCTCATACTCCCTAGGATTCTATTCATGTAACCCACATTTGCATAACCAGCATATTTTCTCTCTTCTTCTCCTTCCAGTTTAAATCTAAATTTAAGCCTAGCCACTCTATTTATCTGATGAAGTAATCTGCAGCTCACAATAGCTCACGTCTTTTAATAACACTTCCTAGCGCTACCAAACTGATTTTCTGCTACTGTAGGCTAACATGGATCTCTTCCTACAGTATTCTTCTCTGATACCTTTCCTCTATGCAGTTTATACATTTTTTAAAAAAATCAATTTACTAATAACTTAATCTACAAAGAGATTCAGATATATAAATATATTATTAAATATAAGTTTTAATTCCTGTTAGAGATTATGATCACTTCTATAAATTTGCAAGCATGTTTAGTATCTCTGGTGGATCTTCAGATAAGTTGTTTTTTAAATCTTATCAAATGTCTGCTTCTGAGAGAACCAAAGCAACAAGTTAACCCGTTTTTAGAGCCATGCTCCAAGTGATACTTTTCGCAGTTTGGCCTGGAATGCAAGATGTTTCTTTTCACACAGATAGCCAGACCTGGAGCCCATCTAGATGGAGATTTAGCTATAAGATAAAGAAATTTTAAACCTTAGCCCATCATTGCAGTGTGGATACAAATTGGAACTCCACACCATCTATTTGTGTGGAATTAAGCTTATGCTTAGTTCAAGGCCCATGACAATAAGGAAGCCTGTTTCACTATACAAATGTACTGAATATGGGGAAGAACAGGAAGAACTAGAAATCTTAATATGGATCTGGAAGGTGAAACTTACAAGGAAAGGCTAGAGATATTGGGCATGATCATCTTGGAAAAGAGAACTGTGGGGAGATGTGACAGCTGCTCTCAAGTAGTCCAGTGATTGGCATGTAGAAGATGGGGCAGAGCTATGTGGAAATGTTGCAGAAATCAGGATAAGAAAGAACAGGTTTAAATTACAAGAAAATGAAATGTGGTTGAACATCAGGAAAAAAGATCCTATAGGTAAGAACCATTCAGTAATGGAACAGACCCCCTTGGGAAATGGTAAACTCTGGCTGAAGGTATTGAAAAGATGGCTGAATACCTATAGGTCAGACATGTTACAATAGTGACTCCTATCATCCATGCCAAAGTTGTGATCCAGATCCATATTTCTAATGGCTATTTGAGGAAAATAAATATTGCACTCAATTCTCAACATGAACATCATTGTAACATGAACATCAATTCCGAGAGATAAAGTTATGCATTCTAACTTTACCATACACTGTCATATTTCCAAATGCAAGTATAGGATTCAGTTTACATACAGTTGCATTTTGTAAAGTGTGAAAGGATGGCGGAGCAGATATTAATTCCATAGCAAAAAAAAAATAGAATGTAAAGAATGATTTTAAAAGAATATGATTTCTACAAAGAACACTCTCAATTTATATACATCTAACTTTCCACTTCATGTAGAATGTGCACTCTGATAAAGTCAACAAATCTTACATATACCACCTGACATGACCAAATGGTCAAATAAGGTTGTATGTTGTCTTTATTTCTTTAGTATTTTCCTCTACAGGAATAAAAAAGCAACAAAAAGTCTGAAAGTTCTCCATTGGAAAGAAATTATTATTCTTAATCATGTTTCTATTTATAGCAGTTTATTTACAACCACAACAGTCAGTATTAGTAACCTTACTTTGAGTAGAAGGTGAACTGAACTGCATGACTGGTTTGCATACAATTGCAATGCATTTGCTTTCTCAGTGCATTTTGCTGCCATAAATTCTTCACAGCAGAAACAAATTTTATTTTCAGCAGCATCTACCTTTAATATTGAGAAGAGGAAGCATTTGAATTAGTAATTTAAAAGCAATGTCTTATATCGAGAAACATCAAAATGTTATCAAAATTAAACCAAAAGATAATTTACTGTCATAAGACACATACAATGTTGTTAAGGAATTTGCTATGTGGAACAATAAATATATATTATTGCTTTATCTATTATCTATTCATTAACGTAAATTAAAGAACTTTCATACATTTCTATTTCAAGCCTTAAATTCTCAAAAAACTATATAAGAATGTAGTATCTGATTTAAACAGAAGAAACCCACAGATTCATACACTTTATATTAGGGTTACAGATATTATTTCATTATGCTTCACTGTGGTCTAATGCAGAATAGTAATAATTAGGTACTTAAGTATGGAACATTACAATTACTGTTATTTGTTATACTTTGGATGTATACTTTAAACATAAATATCTCCTCACCAGATCACACCTAGGGACGCTGGACACAAATTGAGCACCTTGGCATCCAAGGATAAAGCCCGCCAGGTTTAAGAGAACACAAATTACAGAAAGCAAAACAAATAAGTTAACCTAGAACAAATAAAAATTGCTCAGTGAATGACAACATTCAAACATATTGGTTTCTTCAATATTCAATATATATCCTATCATGAGGAAAATCTCCACACATACAATCAATGCATGTGGATCTGTACATGCAAAAGTTTACTTCCCACAATTAGCTGGCTATAATAGGCTATATTGGGCTCAACTGTACAAGATAAAATAGAATAGAATGAACATAATGAATAATATAAAATGAACATAAATTCTATTTTCAATACATTTATAACAACTTAGGAAGGACCCTAATCTCAAATGATATAGAAACATTTGAATATTAAGTAAAATAAAGATTAAACTCAGATACTGTTGCATTATTCAATGCATTCAGTATTTGAATTATCTAAAATTATCTATGTTAGTAGCTAAGTAATATTATAATGGAATAACTACTCAAATGCATATAATAATATAGAAGCCATTCTTTCACATCCTATTAAGGACAACAATGTTTAAAGAATTTAAATTACCATTTGTTTCTTTCTCTATATCCAGAAATAAAATATAGGAAAGATAACAACAGTTTTGGTAAGAGACACTGTGGGGAAAACGCAGAGTGAATCTGAATAACTAACATATAATGCCCAGTTTTTTTAACCAGAACTATTAAAATTTGTGATTCCTAAAATGAAAGCAAAAAGTTTTTGACAAGAGTGTTGGTGTTCTCTATTGCCTTTTCCCTTGAATGTTTTCCAACTTCCAGATCAGATGTGTAGCCCTGGCATTCCTTGGTAATCTCCATTCCAAGTATACGCCATGCCCGATACAACAATATTGTTTAACTTCCAAATTCAGACTAGGCCAGCAATCTGCTAAGATAGCTGGGAAAGAGAATTAAATTTAAGATCTATGAATCTTTTTTCTTGCCATGGAATCCAATCATAGTTCTAAATTATTTTTGAAATACGATGTTATTCCAACTTTGAAATGATACAGATCATTTCCTTTTAATACAGAGAATGAGTAAATAAATGTTTAAGAACTGCAAAGAAAACTCAAATTACAAATGAGAAGCAGTGGATGTAAAGGATGCAAGTTCTGTATTTTTATTACTCCCAAGACTCCTTTGAAACCATATATATTTTCTCAACTTTTTAAAAAATGGTAGAAATAATTTATCACTGTATATTTTGAATATTTAAATCCCTGATTACTTTATTACCTATGTTTATTCAGCTTGTATTTTAAAAAAAAACCTTTATATATATTATGGTTAAAGTACGTTCGAAGCAAAATATATATTTACATACATAAGTACTGCATTATAGTAAAAGAATAACTTAAGGAAGTATACTAGTAATCAATATTATAGTAATATAATATTTCTTGAAGGGCTGAACTTCTTATGAAACTTTTTAACTATGTTTATGGTTATGAAAATTATAAAACTGAAAATTACAGCTTGACAGGTTTCCAATGGAGAAAGCTTTTTTATATTTACCACATCAATAACAAAATTACTTATTTATTCTTAATTGCTTACTGTCTATCTCATAAGACAAGTTGATATCTCAGAAAAGATTTGAATAATTTATTATTTATTTGTTATTTTTAAACTTGTATGATACTCTTCAAATTCAGATATTCCTACTGAGATTTTATGGGACTACACCAACTAGATTTTACTGCTTTGCAACCTGATCCTACTTCTGATAAATATTTCAAGTACCAGCTAGGTTTTGTATGCCAAAAAGTGGGGTAACAAATGTAATTTCTTTATTCCAAGTGCCTTTTGGAAAGGACTAGATATATTCTAAAAACATCCTAGAATCTTCTACAGCCTAACTGTATGTCTGCAGCCCTAAATTCCATTTTAACATTATAGCTAAATATGGACCCCATGGCTTGAATCTTCACATTCTATCTAGTTTATGCTTTATTTACTACTCTATCTTAGAAAGAAAATGAAAAATGCTTGCACTCTTTCCCCCTAACCCTGGGGGAAAATAGGTATATCATTTCATTGCTTGTCATTCTGTGCAACAAAGTCAAATATTAAAGTGTGGTATCCGAAAGGAAATTGGAAAAATATGTTAATCTGATAAATTGATCATTTTGCTACAAAACATCTAACACGCCAATTTGTTAAAATGAGTAGTACTATACAAGTATGCCAATCATGCATATACATCCAAAAGAAAAATATTTTCTGGAATAAAGACAGAAATTGTTTAATACCATCACACCTCTCCTGGAGTGCTGTTGGAGGAAAACTAGAACTAGTCTGACTAGAATAGGTAAAAGCCTACATTAGGGATTTCATTCTGGTGATGCAGGCAGCAGAACATTAATATTTCTCCATCCTTATTGCATCCACTGATAGTAATTCAGCAACTCTGTTTAAGGTAACCCAATTATATTTTGATTCTGGGCCAGCCAAGTGAGGCTAATTAAGGTTTGGCTCCAGCGCATAAAAGCTGGTTAGGGAAGATCTGTCTCCAACTGAATCCCAGCAACACCAAGTGACAAGCTGTTTGAATTTGGGGGATATCTGGGGATGTTCTATCCCTGACTTTGATTGAGGGACCACTTCCCCCTTCTAAACTAGTATGCAATCTGGGGGGTGAGGTTGGGTCTTCTTGAGGTTAGGGTTAGGGTTCCTGCTTGAAGAAGTGTCACCTGGAGCTAAGAAGGCAAGTTACACCTTTTCCTAGATTGGGAGGCCCTTCAAACAGTAATTCATGCCCTAGTAACCTTGTGGCTTGATTTCTGTAATGCTCTCCAGATGTGGCTGTCCTTGATAACTACCCTTTAATTAGTCCAAGCATGTAGCAGTACCAGCTCTGCTTTGCCAGCGGCACTTGTCAGTTTGCTTCCAAGTGCAATTCAAGATGCTGGTTGTTAGCTATAAAGCCCTACAAGGTATAGGGCCTGATTACTTGAGGGACTGCTTGTCTCCTGTAGCATCTGCCTGGCTAATTTGGTCCTGAAGGTTGGCACACTCAGAGTTCTTTTGATTAGACAATGTCAACTTTCCAGGATCCTGACCGCATGCCTTCTCTATAGCAATGCCTACCATCTGGAACAAGATACGAGATCTAGACTGCCCTCAGTCAGTTGTTGTTTAGAAAATCTGGATCTTTACCCAAGGGAGAGTGAAACCCCTCACATCTTTTTGCTTGCCATCTTTTATCTTTAATTTTAATCTTCAATTGATTTTATTATAATTTGTTGGCCTGTGAGTTATCAAGAGTTGTTGAGAGATGGGCAGTAAACAAATTTAATAAATCATCTTTGACATCATTAAACATTACCTTTTAGAATGCAAATAACAATTACATTGAGAAACTCTTCATAATTATGTAGCTGCAGTATTAGATCCATTGGGAATTGTGTAGGTAAGAAAAATCAAGGACTTAACGAGTTAACATTCACTGAAGCAAAAAGAAAGTTTATAAAGCTTAAATACAGGATATAATAACAGAAATTTAAATTTATTGAGACTTTCTCAGAATCAGTTCTTTAAATCTGGGGTAAATACATATTTGTGGAAATACTTGAAATATAATTTCATTAAGCTATTCCATTAAAAAGTGTGATATTCTTTGCTTATAACAGTTAAATCACAATCATATTAACCAACACATACCAAAAGTATCATGGGTCTCTTCCATATTGTTAATCCTATAATCCCTGATAAAATGACCTGCAACAATAAAACAAACCATTATGAAGGATTGAGAGAATATTACTCATGATTTTAAATGATAAAAGTAAATCAGCAGGTGTTAAATATGTCTCATAATCTAGACTTAAAATGAAATACAGGCTTACAGATTTTAATGTATTAGAAAAAGATCTATTCAACTGTGGTGTCCAAGTTTTGAAGTACTACAAGAGGTCTTAATTGGACATTAAAATAACCTTTGGAAGGTTATTAGAGTTTTTGAAAGTAACTCATTTCCTCATATAAAGTGCTTAAAACCCACTGAAATGAGACTGGTATGAAGTAACTAAATCCACATGTTTTAAAAAGATAGCTGTAATAAGATAATACCACATAAGATGAAACATTAAACCTCTTAAGACATTTTTAAACTATACTTTTCACTTTGGAATCTTACTAAAGAGGAAAAAAGGAACTTAAATACGTATTGGGGGAAAAACTTAGCTTGCAGTTAGCTTTAATAGGAAATTAATAATCTGCCCATATGTGCTATGTTTATCTCTGAGAAACAGACAACCACAGCACCTTTCAAATCTTGGCATGAAGATTTATGGCAGATTTATGGATTTCTTTACTTTCCAAGGGAAGGGATGACCATCATAATTTTGAGTCCAAGATTATAATAAGTAGTGCCCTGATAGGTCTGTTGTAACTTTTGTTGCTAAGCAATGGTTCTAAGTCAAGTACTTCCTGTAAAGGGTTTTCTGGTACAAATCAAAGGCCTTCCAGCAGTTTTGAACTTCTGGGCTACATATCCTGGGAAATGGTGGAGTTACTGGAGGGAATCTATGATATGAACAGCTTTTCCCCAAGAACAGATGCTGATTGAAAGTTTTTTCCTACCTGGGGTGTGAAATGGAAAGAATTACTAGGCTGGCTTAGAAGGGAAATTAGAAAGAATAGCACCAGCTAATTTGGGTTATTCCTGTATCTTTTCACTTGGCCAGTACTGGTATTTCTCTCTCTCCCAGTATTGGCAATTAAAATCCTTTTTCACTACTATCCTGTTCCCTGCTGATATCTCACAGCCTCAACCTACAGGGTCACATCAATAGCTTCTACCCAGAGGCAGGGTTGAGAGACCAAGAACAAAATATCAGTAGTTCAGTAGATCAGTGTTTGTAATGCAACTTTCAAAGCAGCAACATCTTTTTTTCAGATTCACCCAGAAACCTGGAAGAAAAGCACTGTGCTTCTACAAAATCTCTTCTGAATCATTTTCAAACCATGCAAAGCGAACTATGTGACCCAACATCCCTCTACCTGTTGTGAAGCTGGTTTTACCATACAGGTAGTCATCAACTTATGACCAGAATTGAGTCCAAAATTTCCACTGCAAAGCAAGACAATTGTTAAGACAGTTTTCCACATTTTACAACCCTTCTTACCATAGTTAAGTGAATCATTGCAGTTGTTAAGGTAGTAACACGGTTAAATGAATCTGGCTTCCCCATAGACATTGCTTGTCCGAAGGTTACAAAAGGTGATCACATGACCCCAGGACACTGCAGCCATTTTAAATACATGCCAGTTGCCAAGTGTCTAAATTTTGATACTTATGACCATGGGGATGCTGCAATGCTCATAAGTGTGAAAATGGTCATAAGTCAGTTTTTTAGTGCCACTGTAACTTTGAACAGTCATTAAACAAAAGTTTGCAAGTTGACGACTACCTGAATGACATTACTGTTTCTATATGCGGGTCTATTACTTTTCTTAAAATTTTCAGCAAAGTTTAACATTTGATTGGGTTATCTGCATATTCTTTTACACTTTTTTAAACTAGAAAATCAGTATCTGGAAGTGCCTACATTTACCATTAAGCTGTTTGAACAGTGTAATGCAAATTATGGAAAATATGAAAAAGTTTAATTTTTACATTGCTTTCAAATACAAGTATTTAAATGGACAAATGCTAATATAAATATGGCACTACATTTGCCTTGGTGATTAATCAAGAAAGTTGTTTAAAATAAAAAAATGTCATTTTTTACACATACAAAGATTGTAACATGTGGGCAATTCACAAGCAGCTATCAAGATAGTTTAAATTAGGATGTGAACATGATTAATCTATTAAGGATGACAGATCTCAATTGGCAGTTAGCAGTACAAAGGAGACATAACAGTATTTACAAAGGGTCTGACTTGTCAGTACAGATGCAGAATGGCTGCTTCATAAAGTGATACCATCAAAAATATATGCAAAGCAAGAAATGTGAGAGAAAATAGAATGCAAATTACAAGATTCTGATTACTCTCCTCTTTCCATTTATGTCTACAGACACAGTTTCTATATTTACTGTAACACCATAAGAATAAAAGATATATAAAGATGTTGCTTGTTAATGTCCATTAAACTGGAATTTGAAATTATGCTTTGCAATATTGCTCATTATGTTTTTAGAAAGAGCAGCCTGTGATCATATCAATACTGCCTAATCATTGTGTACTTTAAGACACAGACCATTTTTATTGCCTGCAAATATTAAATACTTTACTGACTCCAAATTCTTCGAGATATACTTATCTTTAAATTAAAATCAAGAGAACTTAATTTATCTCTCCAATGTCTGTACAGCCTGCAAGATATTTATTTCTTTTCACAAGAAAATGTATCACCAATTATACCAGGGAAAAAGGATATCTTCAAACTACCTAGAAATATCATAAAGCTACAGATATTATTATACTAATGTACATATATAACTGAAAACTTAGGAGATATGGCTACTTCTGCACATATTTTTCTAAATGTCATTTAACAGGTTTGTTTACTCTCTCAGCGGTTGGGACGGTATCTGCAATTCAGAAAGTCTAACCTTTTGAGAATGAGAGTTTTAGATGCAGCACTGAGGCAAAAGATTAATCCATGAATGAAAGCAAAATCCATAGCAAGTGAGACTTGCTTTTACGAATGCATTCAGCTGACTTTGCAAATACATATAAGCAGGAAGCCTTTTATTAAATAAGACAGTACCTCACCACATTATATTTAGGAGAGGCTTAAGAATGAAAATAGTTACAACACATCTGTATTAAGCAATTATGCTTAACAGCAATTCCACAAGGCATGACAAATAATAAACCAGAATTATCTGGAATCTTGTTCAGTACTATAGTTGGCTCTATCCTTTCACATCAACCAGGCTTTTCAAAAGTGCAGGGACAGCACAGGAACAGAGCCTAAGAACAGTAAATGTTTTTATTTGCATTATTAATATAAAACATTTAGAAGTAAAGAAAGGAAACTTTCCATCACAATTCCTATCTTTTTCTTTTTCATTTTAAAGTTATTTCATTAACATACTAAATTAACTATTGGGAGTTTCCTAAATATGCCATCAGGTAATCGCCACAGGTTAAAATCAATCTTAATTGGTATGAGATTTGGGCGATCAAAAATTCAAAACACAAACCAGCTGGATATGCCAGCAAAGGGATTCCGAAAACTGCCATCGCCCAAATTTTTGTAGCCCATATATGGCAGTTCTAACCCCAACGGCTAACAAAGCCGTTTTCCAGCTTCCCATTTCAATTTTAGCCAACACGTTTAAATCACGATTCCTGTTCCCGACTCTTCCCGGGAAAACCAGAACGCGTCCAACCTTGCAGGGTTGTTGTGAGCATCCATAATACACATGAGACGCTATCAAGAAAAAGAAGGAGGGACGGAAACGAAGAAGATCCAAGCAGGTGGCCCAAGGTAGCTGCTAGGCTGGAAAACCACCGCCGAGGCGAGAAAGGAGCCCGGCCAGGGGCCACTTACCGAGGAGCCGGCCCAGAAGGGACAGGAGTTCTTCACCTGCGGGGAGTTGCTGAGGGAGAGCGCCCCAAAGCTTAGGGCCACCATGCTGCACCCCAAAACCAACTGCAGCAGCCCCAGGGACAACAGCGGTTTGGCCGGCAGCGGGCTCTGGCCGACAACGGACGAGGCCCCGTTCAGACGTGAAGCCACGGGAGTCAGGGAGGCTGGCAAAGGCCGGGACTGCCGGAAGCCGGAGCTGGACCAACGGAGCCGGCGAGGAGGCGGCAAAGGCGGCGGGTTTGAGGCGGCGGTAGCCGCCACAGCTGCCCCCGCTGAGCAAGGTCTGGCCACCTCAGAGACGGCCGAGAGCCGCGCCATGGGACAGCAGGAGCCCGGCAGTACCACCGGCAGGGACATGAGGGTGGGGGGAGAGTCGGAGAGTCGGCCAACTCCGAGCAGTTCCCCCGCGCGGGGAGGAAGCTTCCTCGGGTGGCCTCCTCTGGTTGAGGCGGCTGGCCAAGCCCCGGTCCCGTCTACCGCAGCCCGCCGGCGGTTCACTCCCTGCTGCTTCGAAGGCAGGCGACCGGGGGCGCCCGCTCCCTAGGCCCCCGCTGGAGGTTCTGGCTGGCGGCCGCTACCGCCCCCCTCCCACGCCTTGCACGGATCCCCCGATCTCCCACTGCTGGACCCCGCGCCGTCTTGCTCGGGAGGGAGGAGGAAACCAGCTCCCCGACCCTCTCGGCTCGACCCTCCCTTTCCGCCCAAAGGCTCCGGAGCCGTAGGACTGAGAGGCAGCAACCTATTCCATGGGGGAAACGGCTCCCACCCCACACGGCCTGCCGTCTCTGGCAAATTAACCGCTGCTCGGAAGCCCCCTCCCGCAACTACTCCCAACTCGCTGCCAAACTTTTGAACCCATCCTGGCAGATTTAACTCCTTGCTGCGCACGGCTCCCGCCTGGCTCGTCCCACCCACTGAAACGCGCGACCCACAAACTTCTCCACCGAAAAATCAAAGCTCGGGATCGTTCACTTCCGCCCTAGATAAGGACTCCTCTTGGGTTGCAGCGGAGGTCCCAGATGCCTGCCCAGCTTCTTTAGCCAGGCGAGGCCAGCGGTTGTCCGAACGATCCCTGCCGGATAATCCGACTAGAAAGCCAGGCAGCCCCAACACTTCGTCTTCTCTCCCTCCCATTTATAGATTTGCATCAAATGGACTTTCCTGACAAAATTAATCTTAACATTAATCTTTTATCAAACCAGACTCGCTTTCGCCCACCGCCAACTTCTCTTGGCAAATGCAATTTTTGTAAACGATGCGTTTACATAAAAACACACACACATACACTTTAACAACCACAATGAGTCATCCTAGCTGCGGTTCAAATGAACCTGTTTGCAACAAGTACATGGCCGCCTCCCCCGTTTTAAGCTGTATACGTTTTAAGACTGGCTTTTTCGGTCTCCAGCTTATATATCTTTTCGTGCACATCTAAGGTGTCGCTCTGAAACTTTAAAACGTCTCTAAGATTCTAAAAGTATCTCTTTTGGATTTCCAGTGGTGGTAGAGCTGCCTGATACACTTTTGTTGTTGTTTTTGTACATTTTGTTAAATCAGACTAATTTGTTCATTCAGATCCCACCACTCAGACTCTCAAAAAATCTAAGTCCCGCCATTGCCAAACTCAAGTTTTTTTTTCTTAGGACGGGAGCTCTTATTTACCAAGCTTTCTGTTTTCTATCACTTATGGCAGGTTTAAAGTATTTTAAAAATTTCAATGACTTGCTACATAACCCATTCAAATGTCTTCTGAGTTCAACCTGTAGTACATTCCCACTACTTGTTTTAAGTGTTCTTGACCATTAGGCTCTTAAAACTATGTATTGTTAAAGTATCACAAGAGAAGAGCAAGAAAAGTAATATCTCTGCAGTATTTAGCATTTGGTTTTAACTTTACTGTAAAAAAGGTTAAATTGCCATAGCACAACAAAAAATAGGGATTTATTTTAAATCAATGACTCCCAAGTTTAAAAAGTTGGAAAGTGTATGGAAAAAAACTAAGTTTATCTTGGCTAGATAGTATTGTAGTCGCTATAATGAACATTTTAACCAAGAGTTAATTTTTTTCCCCAAATGGTTCTAATACATTTTGTAAAGGCATAAAGTGATTGGCATAAACAAGTAATGGACTCCACATAATTTAATAAAAGTTCATGTTTTAAATTCAAGATTCTAGAGGTCTTCAAAGAGAATGGTGAATTAGTAGTTGAAGGTTTAAATTGTACTATATTAGTTCTATACTATATTAGTTCTACTATACACAGTTGGCTCCATACTTCAAAACAAAACAAAATATTCAGAATTAGGGAAGTCATATTCAGGCCTGAAACTCTTCAGGAGCCAATGTATGCATGAACAAGGACAGGATTGGTGTACCACAAGAATGTCTATTATCCAGCCTCTTCTGTTGCCATTGTGTGTGGATAAGAGTGTCGAGATAGATTTATTCCGTCCCCACCCCCCCCACTATTCTATATCCCCTTTGAATAAATAATAGTCCTGCAAAGTATTGCACAATAGGCCACAACCTAAAGTGAATGAAATTACTTACCTCCGGGCATGATTTTAAAAAGATATAGACAAAAAATGGAATCATAATTGCCTGTAGAATATCATCTTTTTTATTTCATGAGTGATGTAAAATTTTAAAACCCAAAGACTCATTTTATTTTCTACATAATTTCCTTAAATCTTGGCACTCCCTAGTCTTATTTATGGCAGTCACCCTAGAAAACAGTTTCATATATACAGTCATTTTGAAAATAGTGTACAGTTCTATTTAAAGTAGAAAAATAACATCCAAGGGGGAAATGGGAGTTATGAAACATACAAAAGTTAAAAGCAGTAGAAATTTCATGGCTTTGCACAAGTATCAGATGTTAAGAGAACAACCAAAGACACTTTTTGTTTGAAAGGCACGTTTTTTTTCCCCCTTGCAGTAAAGCATTGTGGTTTTCATCAAGCTTCCATTAGGCCCAACAGTTAAAGAGAATATTAAAAAGGCAATTTCAGTGAGGAAAAGAATTCCAAGTTAAAAATTTATAGATGCCAGAAATTAATACCAACTTTATAAATATTTTGGTCCTTTTGTAAAATAGGCAACCATGATCCAGTCCCTTCAATACTTAAATGATACTGCGCCATTCTAGTGAGCAAGATGCCTGTCAAGTTCACTAATACCCCAAATATACATATAATTGTTAAAAAGAATTAGAGCTTTTGATGTGCAAATGTGTCCCAGAACAATGGCTTGACTGCTAATAATTTTATAATTCTGTATCTCTGTATCGAGATGGCTGCCCATAGTATCCACGTTTGGACTGATCAGATAGCTGCCTCCGATAATCTTCCTCCTCTGCATCACTGCCATAAATTCCTGGATTATCTAGGTAAGATCTAACAGCCGGCTTCTGAGGCTCGGGAGGTCTGGAACTAAAATCAACATATACAAAATTATTTTGAGCAAGTTAACAAAGAGACCAAGCAGGAATAGACTGTTACCACTTTAAATTAAAGTTAAAAACTGTGCTTTTATTAATATTCAGGCCATCAACAACCCATTTGAAACAAAGTTCCTGCCAAATCACGGCCATTTCAAAATTCTCTTATACTTGAAGGGAGTTGTTCCATCTTCCTCATTAGTAAAGCTGGCCTGAAATTAGGCTGCTAGCATAGGATAATAGATCCTGTGAGAACGTGGGCAAAACTAAACTACAAAATACTTCTATTTTATATTGTTTTGAATGGGATATATTTTAGGGGCAACAAAGTGAACATTTTATGCACTCTATCCGTTTAGTTCTCTGACAATATTCTTACACAGCTCATTTTGCGAAAGTTTATAAAAAGAAAATCATAGGAAGATGGGAAAGAAAAAAGCTACTTTCAATAATGTTTTGCAGCTTTCTTCCTCTCCATGAGGTTTCCATAATTATAATGAATTAGGTCAGAATTTTTTGGGATATGACATTCCTTAAAACTCAAGAGAAAAATGAGATTTTCTACCCAGAATAATTTACTGTTAAGCTTTCAGTTACTTCTCAAATAACTCAATAATTTGACAATCAAATTTAATAAGGAGAGCTCCAATTACAATGTAACAGAAAAGCTCTCTGAGGAAAGTGGGAAAGAAAGCATATGCTTAATTAGGTCAGTGTCTTAGTAGAGGTCAGACGAAGAGAACAAAGGGTGACATGAATAAAATTTTACAGAAGAAAACTGGGCTGCAGATGGTCAGGAGTGTATTTCCACATACAAAATGTGAAAAGGAACAAACTCCTTTGTTGGCAACAGAGTTGGAAAAGATAATTATTATAATCAGGTGTATGCATCTATATTAATTAACTAAACAGATTTATATAGCAGTATGATTACTGAAGAATTCTGGGCTGAAGAGGTTCATGTTGCCTACAGGTTGAATGGAAGGCACAGTGAAGTAAAAAAACGTGTGAAAAAAAAGAGTTAACTGCCCTACACTATCTGGAGAGCTATCCACTTACAACTTATTTGTGGACTTCCGCTCTGTTAAAAAAAAATTCTGATGCTGAGTAAGCATGTTAAACATATTCAATGCCACAGAAGCATTAAAAAAATAGGCAAATTAATTCAGTTTTACCTGGAAATCTGGGTACGGTTGTGTTCTGGCTTCTGTGTTTTCATTGGGACTGCATAAATGTCTGGATGTTTTTGTGCTATTTCCACCTTTAAAAAAAGAAGGTAAAATATTTCCATATTTTCATCAAGCTATAAATTATTCTTTGATAGCATTTTCCCCTCCAACAGCAAGCCAATCCATTTACTTTACAGACTCGTCAGATTGTTTACAAAATATGTAAAAATATCCAGGCCTAGAGGTTTGGACATAAAATGGTTCTCTGAAAATTAAGGGAGACTATTGTGCTAGAAGGAATATTTTTCTAAATTTTTCTTCATTGGCAGTTCTAGCACTCCATTACAAACTGAAAAATTCTCTTTCTGAAAAAGATTTCAAAAATAGTATCTCCAAACTGTTGTTTGAATTATGCTTTTTTATTAATTTGATTCTGTATTACTAGTTTTCTTACTATTGTAAATAAAACATTTGCACAAGACCAACAGAATTATTATTTTATACCCTGGCATTCTGTGCTTCTTGCAGTTCTTGCATTCTTTGTAGTCTGGCCTTGTGATCCATTTTCTCAAAAATTTTAACTTTCCCCAGCACAGATTTTGGTGTGTTCTCTTCTACAACTTCTCCCACTTTTTCTTCCACTTCAGAAGGTTGAATGATTGGCTGAGAAGTCTTCAATACAGGCCGGCCCAAGTTTGGTTTCATGGCTATAGGGGGAGGAGCTATTTTAGCTGATCCTCCCAGATTTTCAATGCTAGCTGCATTAGGGCTGTTTGTTCTGGGTTCATAATTCTTAGGCATATCATATGGATCTTCCTTGTTTTGCAACTTAGCCTGTAAACATAACGACAAATACAAGTGTAGATTTTTTTTTAC